GCGCTGCTGGCTGGGGGATTCTGGGAGTTGAAGTCCACCCATCTTCAAGCTACCAAGGTTGAGAAACACTGCATTAGACACTGTGGCGCTGCCTTAAGCTTAGGCAGCAAATTCCATCCTACCGAAGCAGGAGGAGTTTATGGAAGAACTGGAACTTTTGAGCCCTTTCTCCTCTTGTGGTCCTCCAGCTTTGTGAGAATTTGTCATTTTAAATCCTTTGTAGGTTTGCTCCTTAACTTCTTTCATAAGTCCTATACCTTTATGACTTTACGCATACCTTTAGACGCATATCTTTCGTAGGTCATATACCTGCAAAAAGACATTGCCTCCTTTTAATATTATATAAAAAACCACTTTGGCAAGCTGTTTCTGAAGAACCAACTAAAAATGTTGTAAATAATTAAAATAAATGTACTGTTGTAAAGAATAATAGGAAAATGAGCCAGGTATTGCCTCATATGGAAAAGTCATCCACTAGCAGAAATGGAAAGGAGAGCCACTGAAAAAACAATTCCTGTTCTCTCCTTTCTCTGCTTAACTTTCTGAAAGGCTGAGTCAGGCACCTGCACCTCTTCATCCAGTTAGACTGAGGATGTGGAATTGTGACACATACTGAATTTTGTTTTATTGTCTTTTACAGAGTAGTTATGGAGTAAAACACATCTTTTAAGTTTTCCAGACTTCACTGAGAACTATTTGATGCACGTGTTCTGGTGCTGATGAATTTTTAGTTACTCTCCTTTCAGAGTGACACTGCAAATTTATAAGTGGCTCATTACAGTTTAAAATCTATTTCTAATGTACTCTGCATTGATTAGGCTATTTGTGCTAATGCTGCATATGTAGCAAACACGAAATACAATATTATCACCAAGTAATAAACGTTTAAACAATTTAGTCTTTTTTTGTGGAGATGGTTTCTAATTTCTTATCTCACATCTGTAACTTGTGGTTCAGAATGTTTTCTCTTTCTTGTGACCATGGTTTTGAAGTGTTAAGTCTTGGTCTCTATTGCAGTGATACAAAAATAAAATATTTATTCAAGAATGAATATAAGCATTTGAATAATTAACAGTCTTACTTAGTTTGAAAGATCTTCTCAACTTCCCTTTATTTTTTAAAACTTTTTTTTTTAGGTACGTGCCTTTCAGCATGCTTTCAGCACCAATGATTGTTCCAGAAATGTTTATATTAAGAAGAATGGATTTACTTTGCACCGGAATCCCATTGCTCAGAGTACCGATGGAGCAAGGACCAAGATTGGCTTCAGTGAAGGCCGTCATGCTTGGGAAGTCTGGTGGGAAGGTCCTCTTGGTACAGTGGCAGTGATTGGAATCGCTACAAAAAGAGCTCCCATGCAGTGTCAAGGTTATGTAGCCCTCCTGGGGAGTGATGACCAGAGCTGGGGCTGGAATTTAGTGGACAATAATTTATTACATAATGGAGAAGTCAATGGCAGTTTTCCACAGTGCAACAATGCCCCAAAATATCAAGTAAGTGAAATCCGATGTTTTTTGAAAGGGCTACATCAGTGTTATGACATAGTATTTCTTCTGCAATTAACTTCATTTTTCCTATTTTGTCATGCTTAATTCCATATTTTCTCATGCTCCATTCCCTTGCATGCTGAAGATCTGCTTTAAGGGATACCTTAACTTTGGAAAAGATTCGGAGGGTCTGTGTAAACATAGAAAGAGGCAAAAAGAATCCTTTCCCCTGACAAGCATTGCTTGTACAACAGAAATGCACTGTTGGAAATTGGAAGCCACCCAGAGTTAATTTGAAGATGAACAGCTATCTCGTTAAATAAATATAAATAAACAAATAAAAATAAGTCTTAATAAACCAAACATTTTGCTGAAATTTTGATGAGCTGATCCTTCAGGAATTCTTAGGCTATGTTTTGAATGAATTTTGTTTTAAGTTAAAATTTTCTGAAATATGTATATATTTCAGTCTCTCTTCAGTGAAATTTATTCTAAAAAAAATATCTACAGTTAAGCCAGTGTAATCATTTAAAGCACTATGTATTATATAAAAATGGCTGTATCTTAGTTTACTATTAACGTTTAAAATGTATGTTCAAAGTACCTATCTGTATTTATTTATGTTGTTCGTTTATGTTGTTTTTTCCTCTAGACATTTGCCATCTTTCTCAATCTTTCCTCTTTTTGTTTACAGATAGGTGAGAGAATTCGTGTTATCCTGGATATGGAAGACAAGACCTTGGCTTTTGAGAGAGGCTATGAGTTCTTAGGAGTTGCATTTCGAGGACTGCCAAAGACATGTCTGTATCCAGCAGTGTCTGCTGTATATGGCAACACTGAGGTGACGTTAGTTTATCTAGGAAAACCTTTAGATGGATGATATTTTTGTGTTTTTACTTTGTTTTTGTTTTTTTAGCAAGAACATGAAAATCAAGTTGACAATGTGGAGAAACCTGCATATTGGTTAACAGGACAGCATGAGGAAAATACATGGATGTGTGCTCAAGAAACCAAAACTTTTGATTAAAAAGACCAACTGTTCTTAACAGAGTGCACTGACATTTCCTTTTTCTGCCGGACCAGAAAAATTCCTCAGGGGCGGGGGGGGTTTACAGTTAAACAGGCAGTTAACCACAAGCATGTTGCATTGGATTTTGTACCAAGAGTGGCAATATGGAATCCTGTATATACGTAAGGAATTGTTTCATAGAAGTAATTGCGGAAGTTATCTAATATGTGAGAGTAACGTGTTCTGTGGAAAAGGTTTCCATTTTGAAAGCAATTTGTTCTTTTCCAACCTTTAATCCAGTGTGTCTTACCAAAGGTAATAAACTTGGATTTTATTTAATATATTTTGGTTGTGCTTGGAGCACTGATTCTGGAGATCAGTTTTCCAGAGCTATATTGTGCAGCTATACTGAAGTGTATTTTAAAAATTGTACAGAAGCTAAAAATCGAATGATAGAAAGGTTTGCTAACCAGTATGTAATTTCTCAAATGGAAAAACCACTACATGTCAAATGTCAATCTTTGTCTAGGGATTGGACAAAATATATACAGGTGCATTTCTGTTTTGTTGTGCCACATCTCTTTTGGCAAAAGGAGCAATGTATGCTTATTAAATAATGGTTGAGATTGATCAATAGAATAGTATATATATGGAAGGGTAAAATTTATTTCTAATGTATTTTGAAAAATTAGGTTTCCAAAGTATTTCCAAATAGCAGTCATTTCAAAATATTCAATTCCTTAAATTAAATCAACTGAAATTTAAACAGGAATTCCATCCCTGATACACAAATTTCAGTATGGGTAGCTTTAATTTTGTTAACATTTATTACAAAAACTGAAAATAATTTGTAAAAAGTTAATGAATTTTATGTGATGGAAGTACTTGTGGATGATAGAATGGTTGTCCTTTCTCACATTAGTTTTCCCCCAGATTACCCTATATCTTTGCCATTCCCTGGTATCCATTGCCTGCACAATTTATCTTTTAACTTTGTAATTCCACAGGCCAGCTGTTGGTACTAAATGTTATTTTGTTTATAAATCTATTTATTTAAAGATATTGATAAAACACTTTCAGTGCAATCCTATGCATATTTCTTTCAAAAGCATATCAGATGATATTCAAACAGTTTTTTCCACATATGCATAGAATTGTGTCATTTGGGAGGAAATAAATATTGTTTACATTATTTTCTACATAATCTGAAATACATGGTCTTGCAGACATCAGATAATTCCTTAAATATGTAAAAGAAAACATTAAAGATATTTTTTTATTTTTGTTCAAGCCGGGAAATGCTGATTGAGTTCTATGAGTGCTGCTAAATACATGTTTTATATATTTTTTAAAAGGCTTCTAACCTATGGCTGAAAAGTACATTTACTCCACAAAAAGTTTGGAATGGTAGTATTTAAGCCAGCATTTGATCCCCAATACTTGGCAGTAGCTATAGACATGTTTGTCTTTTTCATTTCTATTGTTTTTCTTGGCTTTACCAGCTTGCTATCTGTCCTTCACTTTGGCAAATAAGGCTCTGTGACAAAAAGAAATTGGTTAATTGTTCTGGAATATGTCTTTTTTTTATCAGCCTTTTTTTTATAAAGACACAAGACATTGATGGTGATAGCATTAGGCTAATTAAGAAGAGACTCCCCATTATAAGCTACTAGCAATTTAAGAAAAACCAGAAAAGGAAATTTTAAAAGAAGAAAAGAGAAAGACTTTACTAAGAGAATTCAGTGTTTGCATGTTCTGTACTATTTGGGTTTGGCTCCCTTCCGGATTTATCCATTCATGCTCAGATACCACTAAATTGTGTTTGAAAGCAGCATGTGTAGATTGATGTTCTTAAAATGTTTGTTCTATATATGTAGTATTTCACTGAATAGAACAAGTTCATTCCTGGCATGTTTCTACAGCAAAGTCAGAACAAGGCTATGAAATGACTTTTAACATGTGGTACTAAGAAGTCATGAATAAAGTGGGAATAATGTGAGATTTCAAGAAACAGTTTATTTATACAGTGCTGTAAAATGCATCACTACGGTAAGTAAAACTCTGGCATGGGCTGATATAAAAGTAAAACTTCCATTAAATTAACTGTCTCTGTGCAATCTTGGATAGATTTTTTTTCTGTTTTTCTATACAAAGAATAATCTATCCTGTATAAGGTTTCAGGGGATGTGCAAAATTCATAAATTTGGTAACATTTGAATGCCAGAATGATCTATTCCCCTCCAGATTGTGTCCTTTTGGAGGTGTTAAAAGTTCTCTGGAACTTTCAATTCCAAATCGTTGAGTTTTGTAGATTCTTAGAAGAAACTTCTTCCCTGTTAATATAGAATGCCTTTCCTTCTTTCTAATACATGTGCATAACCCTTTTGCAAATTGTTCCCATCTGTCTCAAGGAATTATTAATCAACCTATGTATATAGAATTCTTATAACTTATTACCTGAAGACCAATTTCAAGCTGTACAAAATACTGAAATAAATTGCTAAAATATGAAAATATTACTTTTGTGTATTGTGTTTTATAGTTGAGTAGATAAATATACCAAGTCCATGATGTTTGGTATATTATGTATTTATTAGATTTTTATCCTGCTTTTATTACATATAAATAACTCAAAGCTTGCATACTTTATCTGTACAGGTACCTACTTTGAGTTATGACGACAACTGAGACTAGAATTTCACTTGCTAAGCAAGGAGATTGTTGAGTGAGTCATGCTCAAATTTATGACCTTTTTGCCATGGCTGTTAAGTGAATCACTGCAGTTAATTGAATTGTGGTTGTTAGTTGAATCTGGTTCCCCTTATTGACTTTGCTTGTTGGAAGCCATCTTGAAAGGTCGCAGCTATCTTGTGACAATTGTAACTGTCATAAATACATCCTGCTTGCCAAGTGCCCAAATTTTAATTACATGACAGTGGGGAAGCTGTGACGGTTATAAATATGAGGAATGACCGAGTGGCACTGTAACTTTGAATGGTCACTAAACAAATGGTTGTAAATCATGGACTATCTGCACCTGTTTTGCTCCAGAGACTTATCAGCTAGACCAGGGGTGTCAAACTGGATTTCTTCAAGGCCTGGATCAGCATTGTGGTTCTCTTCCACAGGCCAGCTGGAGGGGAGGTGGGGGAGACAGCCTGGACGGCCTCCTGCAGCACTTTATGGGCCAAAACGGGGGGGGCGCCCCATTTTGGCTGCCAGAGGTACTGCAAGCCAGTCCTTTGCTATTTCCAGGCCAGCCCTGCGGACCAGATTTAAGCATGAGCTGGATCTGGCCCACGGGCCTTCAGTTTGACACCCCTGAGCTAGACCGTATCACTTGCTAAAGCTGCATAAGCAGATGCATTCATGAATTCTTAGTTATTACTGATACTGATTTCATATGTTGCCTTACCCACCTATGCTTTTGATCTGTTTCATAAGACCCACAAGACTGGCTACCTAAAAAAGATTTGTGCATGCATGATTTGATAAAGGTATAGATGATCTTTTTTAGTCTGGAAACTATGACATAGGGGAGTGGGTATTGACACTGACATAAATGAAGTAGGCGGTATTGAAACTTTCAGACATATTTTTTAATGATGGTTGGGATTTTGGGGGGTATTTTAAATAATTTTATGACGGCTTTGCATTGCTTAAGGCACCTATTTTGTCTGAAACTCATGCCCATTTTCTGGAGATACAATCTGTGCACAGGTTGCCCATTCTGATCTAAAATAATATTGTTTCCTTAGTAGAAATAAATGACAGTAAATGTAATTCATCTGGGAACTGTTCTGTTTTTGGAATATCTATACAATATTCCAATTATAATAGAAATATTATATAAAATATATTTAATAAAATTAAAATGTTACCCAAGTAACATTCTAACATTCTTCAGTTCAATGGTACAAGTTAGAAAAATACTTTAAAAAGTGGGTGCAGAATGTAGGTTGGCAGAGGCTTTTTTGATTAATGGTGGATGTATCAGCTTACTGGAAAGTCTGCTTATTCTCAGTATGCTAAGATTGTTTATTTGAAAATAAATTAAGCAATCTTTCATCAAAGAAAACTGAATAGACTATTTCTGAAGCTTTAGAATCCAAGAAGTAACAATACAAAGATAGAAACTAGCTATTGAACAAGAAGATTTTATTAAAATTGTGATCCTTTGTATGCTGCTAAGAGAATAATTATTTGTAACATCTCTTTACACTCGAATTGCTTTTTTTTCTGATCTGAATACTGTGGAGAAGTCCTCTTAAATTTCTAACAGCAGGGGACAGCAGTATTTCACAGAAAAGCCAACATAAGTCACAAATATAGAACAATATAGTGTAGATACAGCAAATGCTTTCTGATAACACGGGAAGTGGTATCTTCTAGCAAATTTTTAATGGGAAATGGTTAAAAACCAAGCTTGTGCCAAATGTACTTAATTATCACCAATTTTGAAATAACAATTGCTAAGGTTCTGCACTATTCCAAAATGATTTAGAAGTATTTCAGACTTTTCAGAAGAACAAGCGCAGCATCTTTTCAATAGTATATATCAGTGATGGCTAACCTTTTCTGGACTGAGTGCCCAAAGTGAGCACACGTGCCTGAACCCCCAAAATGCAATGTGCGCGCATGCCCCACACACATGTGTGGCCTACATGTATGCATCCCACCCACTGCATGCGCGGCAGAGACCCAACCAGGTGGCCAACAGGAGGCACGTGTGCACGTGTGGCAGAGCTGAACTGGGGCGACATCTCACATGCCCACAGAGAGGGTGCTGCGTGCCACCTGTGGCACGCGTGCCATAGGTTTGCCATCACGGGTATATATGTAGCTCAGGATTAAACTATGGAATCCTTGGGGCTGTATGAACTTGGTTGCTTGCTTTCAGTCATTTCATTATCCAACTAGATAATATCAGTACTAGAAAGTGTGGAATCTGCTCCCTGTAGATGCAGGAGCTTACTGTATACAGTATATATAGTAGTATAGTATATAGAATATACATAGCTTACAATAGCTCTCAGAAGTCACAACAAAAACTCAATCTTACAACTCATGGACTCTCACCATACTTTCAGCTGGGAAAAAGCATTCTAGACCAAACCAAATCCCCAAAAGCTATGGAATTCCTGGAAACTTAGCATTCAGACAAATAACCCATTAATTTGCAGAGATAAACATGCTTATACACCATTCAAAAGAGAATAAAAAAGTTAAGAACAAAACAAAAAGAGAAAAAAAAACATCCTTACCAGCAGCCAGCAAACGGAGGACAGTTGGGAAGGTAGCAGATAATGATGATATGACCCCGGGACATTGCAACCATCAAAAATTGATGCTGGTTGTCAAGCATCCAAATTTTGATGATGTCTCTCTAGGGATGCTACAAGGGTCCTAAGTGTGAGGATAAGTAATTCAGAAGTTTTTTTACTTTAATTTTTTTTTAAACATACAATATTAGATCAAAATAAACTTCATTAAATAAAACATTCCACTAATACCTTAATTAACAAATATAATCTGTTTCCAGACAGAACCTAATCAGTACCTAAATACCCTGTTTCCACCAAAATAAGACATCCCCTGATAATAAGCCCAATTGGGCTTTTGAGCGCATGGCAATAAGGCCAAGCGCTTATTTCAGGGTTCAAAAAAATATAAGACAGGGTCTTATTTTCGGGGAAACATGGTATTACCTCTGGAAAAAATAGTCTTCACAACCTTCCAGAAGGCAATCACCATGAGGGCCAGCCTAACTTCTAAATCAAATCAAACCTTTATTGTCAATGCACAGCGTGTGTACAATAAAATTGAATAAAGGGAGAGTATTCCTAAGTAAAATAGCCATGATTGAAAAATAAGCATTTTCTGGCTCTCATCTCCCATCAAGAAAGATAACTTTGTTTTTTGGGGAAGAGGAATAACAAACAGTTTCTCCCAAAAGAATGTTGCACATTATTTAATGAAAAAGGTCTTTACGTAGTACAGTTGTTTCAGTGAGAAAGGCAAAGGAATGAGAAAGTTGATCCTTAAATGACAGAAAGGCAAACCATGAGTTAGAAAGTGGCAGGAAAAATGGAGGAACTTTTTAATAAGTGATCCAATGTTCAGCTATAGAAGTAGGCAGAAACATAAAGACCCTTGCTACAACAAAGACATTTAAAAATCTGGGGACTTCCTGCGACAGCAAAGAGTGAAAATATACTAGGTGGAGAAACTATATACACATATATACACACCATACAAACACACTTATGCTAAGGAACATTGCACAATTTCCACCTTATTTGGGAAAGAAGGATAAAATCGAACCATTCTAAACTGAAAAGAGAAGCAGGTGCTGGGAGAGAATCAGCTACTATTTGCAGCTTGTGCACAGAGTTCTTGTCCTTGAAGATCAGTGTTGGATTGTTGACAATTTGGAAGGGAGAGAAGATTCCTATCTATAACTGTTTTTTCAGTGCTGTTTGTTCTGAGTACCAAGCAAAAAATCAAAGTTGTCTAACATATCGATAGTGAGAAATTGCATGCCTCCTTCCCAGAAATACCATACTGAGAAAGGATTCTAGAAGACTGAAAGGTAAAATGCATGTCAGGGATTATATATTTCAGCGGATATACTGTATTTTAGTATTCTCCTTTCAAATTTATGATTAATCTATTTCTACATCTGCTCAGTTTCATTTTTTAAATTTGCTTTGACAGTATTTAGGATATACATTAATATCAAAATCTTACTATATACTGGTAAATGTGGAGGCTCCTGAAAGTTCACTATTGTAACTTGAGGAAAGGAGGATAGTAATCAGTTCTCAGCTCTATATAATAATATTGCAATTTCTTAATACCTAGATACATATCTAGAAACTTATATTCTCTGATTACTGCCTACACTTTGAAAACCAGAAAATGACAGTTACAAATATTTGGGTTCTGATGCTGTAGGTAGGAGATCACCAGGCTGAACTGGAGGGAAGGATCAAACAGATGATCAGTCTCAAGGCCCTTCACACCCACAAGAGATCTAAGTCCAGATCGCCATGAATTCCATTGATTTTCATCTACTGCCAATTTGCTTTGACGATTAGTAGCTCAGATTCTTGTAGAGAACTTAAACTTGCAACGAACCTTTATATAAGTAGTCCTCAACTTATAACAGTTCATTTAGTGACCATTCAAAGTTACAACGGCACTGAAAAAGTTACTTATGACTGTTTTTCACATGTACGACCATTGCAGCATCCCCATGGTCACATGATCAAAATTCAGATACTTGACAACTGGTTCATATTTATGACGGTTGCAGTGTCCTGGGGTCATGTGATCAGCTTTTGCAACCTCCTGACAAGCAAAGTGAATGGGGAATCCATATTCACTTAACAACCATGTTACTAACTTAACAAATGCAATGATTCACTTAACAACGGTGGCAAAAAAAAGTCATAAAATTGGGCAAAACTCACTTAACAAATGTTTCACTTAGCAATGTAAATTTTGGCCTCAATTGTGGTTGTAACTTGAGGACTACCTGTATTAATTGAACTGCCTGGACTTCCTGATTTCCTGCCCTTGGTAGATGGATTTTAAGAGAGGAAATGAGAGTCTTTTATTTCTATCCTTATTTCTGAAGGAAAAAAAAGGAGGAAATCATACTATAAAATTTAATGTCCCATTACTGGGATGAATGCAACGCATGGGCTGCCCATTCAAGTAATCCTAAACTATAATTAAATTGTGATCAGAATTTAAACAACCCTAAATAAGCAATTTTGGCCCTTTTATGATGAATGTTATACTATATATATAATGGAAAAGTCCATATTTCCCCAAGTTTCTTTTGGTTCTATTTTTGTTTTAAACTTCCTGTTTTAATTGTTTTTGAAACAATTTTCAACTGTTCTTTTCACTAGAAAATTTAAGAGGAACAAAACTGTTGCAGGAAATTTCAGTAATTGTCTTTACATTATCAGGACTAAAAAAAAAAGTTAAGGTTAATTTAAGTTTGTTATCTCAGATCAGATTTTTCCCCAGGATATACTTATTTGATTAGAAATCTCATTTACAATAGAAAGTTGGGTGATTGATGGAAAATAACCCAAAACTTGTGGTATTTAGGGGGTGTATAATAGCCTGTTAAGGATAATGTGGCTGCCTGGAATCTGAAGAGGAGTACTACTTATTCAAAGATCAGAATAAACCACAAAATTTTGTTGTAGAACTATTTGCTAAACTTTCTTCTCTGTGCTGTGGCTCAGTCTTAGAATGGGCCCTTAGATACAGAATTTTTCCTTCAATTAAGTAAACATAGTAACTTTTAAAAGACTAGCCCCACTATGTCGCAGAATGACTTTGGAAAGGGTGAGGATTAGAACCAGGTTTTCTTCATACGGGCTTTCTTGTTTCTTACAGGAACCGGATTTCCAATGACTCTCCCTGAGCCAGATTGCTCGCTGAAAGGATTGCTTTGTCTAGTACCTTGCTCTTGGGTATTGAGCATCAGATGGTCAGATGCTCTGCTACCTTACCCAACCGAGCAAGGACCAAGCCCTGGGACCAGGGTGCACCCAAGAGAAATGCAGGAGTGGGAAAGCTGTCCATTTGCCACATGTGACACAGTTCCAGATACCTTTCTTTAAGGGATCTCTTTGGCAGTGAGTTCTCTTGAGCTAACTCTGGGCTAGGATGTAAGTCTTGCTTGGCATCACAGCATGGGAAAATAGGGAGTTCAAGTGCTGCAGCTGGGGATCACATGAGGCCTTGTCAGTTAAGGGATAAATTATTGCTCCCTTATATCTAAGCTGGAGAGTCCACACCAAGTGTGCATAGTTTGCTGGCTTGCTATTTTTTGTGCCGAAAAGCCGAAAAACAGTGTGCTGTTTTGCATGTACAGAATGCCTGGGTTTTTTTCCCCTCCACGGAAGGCTTTTATTCTTCATCTGCACTTTGTTTATCCTGTTCAAATGTTATGGTTAACATTAGATTTATTTTACCAGTCAAAATGCCCCATCTGTAGTTCCAGTTCAGAGCTGGTCATAAAGCTTATTTGCTTTGATGGGCGAGGAAGGAAAAGGCAATTGCTGAGAGCCAATAACCATTTAGAATTCTCTCCATAAAAACCTGGGTGTGGTAATTTGAGATATATGGGCTGCTTTGGGGGAAAAAGAAACAAATATAACATAGAACTGAAAAAAAGTGTTGCTTACTATTTTAAAAGCACCAGTGTAGTTCTTGGTTTGTCTAGAAGACTACTTGTTCTTTTTAAACATATACTGTACATGAATTTCAAGTCTTACAGCGTTTACGTGAGTGATATTCAGGAAATTATGCTGCATAGTAATTTTGGGCTTATAATTGCCAAATTCCCAATAGCATAAATTGGTTGGAGTTTAGTGAAGTTGGTAGTCAAACACATCTGAAGGATAATATCTGGTAATATATGTTGACTGAGAAATATTAGGGTTCACACAGTGGTTAACAATTAAAAACTGTTTTTATTTGGCAAAACCAGCAGATGCAGCACTTGAAAATATATTTTTTTAGTGGAAAAAGAGATTAAAAAATCTATTTGTATGATTCTCAATAGAAATTCTCAGCTTCACTTGGTCCAGTAATGTAGTGGCATACCCATTTTTGGGCACATTAAGGCTTGCCCAGGTTACATCACTATTGCATGAGTTGCATTGGTTTCCAATACGCTTTTGAGTGCAATTCAAGGTGCTGTTATAACTTCTGAAGCCCTGTATGGCATAATACTAGCTTACTTGTTGGACCGCCTATCTCCAAGGTTCTTGCCAATCTCACCAGATCTGACAAAACAAATTTGTAACTATGTAATCTTGTGGGACTGAAAAATCACAAAGCTTGTGCTATGGAACAACACACATACACACCTCTCTATGCAAAATTCTGAAGCTTCCCCCCCACCCAACTCTTTGGTTTTCTGCAAGGTTGTGAAGACCTGGCTTACCCCCCCACCCCCCCACCCCCGGATGATGGGCCAGGATGGTAGATGAGCTTAATATTGATGTTGTTTGTTATATGGTGCCTTAGTTAGTGTATAATGATTTTTAAAATTTCACCTTTCTGTTTGGTTTATAGAGGTTTTATTATATTGGATCATTGTTAGCTGTCCAGAATTTGTATGTAAGATAGGTATGTGGGAAAGCATATTCATTTTCTAAATAAAATAAAACCAATAAAATCAGTGTGACTCGGAGACAATATTTTGATAAAATTAGTTTTCATAAAAACAATGATTTTTTTTAGTTCTGGCTTTACAAAAAAAACAATATCTTAATTTTTTACTTGGTTTTAATTAATATATTACGCTATCCAGTTATTTTGGTGTCTAAGCCACAGTTTATGGTTTAATATGATTGTGCAGCTAATTGGGCAAATTGTGGCTTAATGCAGCGTGCAAATACAGCCACTGAAAAATAAGGAATGATATATGGGCTTAGAGAAAGAGACAGACAGATCAAATAGCTATTACATTGCTAGATGGTATTATCAAAAGAATGTGATTATAAGCAGTTCCTTTTGTGCTAAAGTACAGCAATCTCCTGAAAATACCATCTAATAAGTTTCTTGGAACTGTAACAAAATTTCACCCTGATCATAATTTTCAGAAATTGATTCTGAATCAAATGGAAATAGCAGTGCCTTACGGTCATTTATAAAACGGTATGAGATGTTATTTCCCATCAGTTAATTATCACAAATGTATTATTCATATGAACCTTCTACTAAGACTAGAATCTTCTGGCCTTTCTTGAACTTAATTGCCTTTCTTGTGTTCTCCAGAATTTTGTGCTAATCAATCCCAGCCAGCATAGTTATCTCCGTTGGAAGATGACAAATAACTTTAATCTAATTTATCTGACAAGTAATCAATGCATCTGTAGGCTGATATATCTAGAGGGAATTCTGTAATTGTAGTTGACATATTTAAGTACAGATTTGTAATCTAACATTGCTTTAGTTTGCAGAAAGCGGTAGCAGTCCAATAGTATGAAACTAGAAATAGTCGATAATGTTATTTCTTAATATTAATTTATTAATCTTTAGGTTGCACAGGAATCTTCACTGTTGTTGAGATTAAAAAAAAACAAAACTCTGAGCTCTGACGTGACTAGAATCAGTGAAATTCAAGTAATAGCTTCAAATTTACCCTATACAATTTCCTTCCTTTCATTTCCCTTCTTCTTAGCTCCTTCTCATTTTCAAGTGACTTGCATACGCACAAACTTTCCATATGCAACTGCTGAGCTTGGGTGGGGGAGGTTGAGTGAAACAAATTGCAACTTGCTTTGGGATCCATGTGACCGTATTTCCTTCCGCAAAAACTATATTAATCTGATCTTAAGTGAGTGCAAACAGCTAATTGTATTATCATTATCTTTTTGAGAAATACTGTGAGATAACAAGACAAGTGTTGGTACAGAATGAACCTCCCAGAATTGAATACGTTGCTCCAAACGGTGAGTTAATCCTGCATAATTTATCTTAACTTTTCATTTTACATAGGGCTTTTCAATAACAATTAAAAACAACGTGCTACATTATGATACATTCTAAAGTATAGAACTATACTGCTATCATTTGCAGTCAGAAAAAAAGTCAGATTGTGATCATGATGAACATTTCTCTAGTTGCTGTTAATTAATTCCTAATATCTACTCTACAAATTATGTATTCTGTTTCATGATAAATTTGTATTTACTGAGAATAATCATTGATATATATAATTTTGTCATAAAAAGTTGTTCTGTAGGTTATTAGATGGGTCCCTGAATTGTTCTTGAGAATCGAGAAAGTCAGATTTATTCTAAAGTGGGATATGTTGGCTTCTCTGAGTAATTTAGAAGAATCAAATGTAGAAGAATTAATTGAGGAAGGCAGGACGCATGGCAGTTAAAGTCTGAGGTAAAAACCTTGAGCCAGTCACTTACTTTCAACCCAACCTATCTCACATCATTGGATAGAAAAACAGAAAGAGGAAGCACAATGAACATTTCCTTGAACGCCTAAATGAAAGATGAGAATATAATTCAAACAAACAAACAAACAAACACAATAGCTAAGAATGAAAGCATTAAACAAGCAGGATGGGAGTTTACTGGCAATTAGTAGAAAGAAAAAGAGAAACCCAGCACCAGCCTAGAAAAAGGATAGTTCGTAGCATCTTGTGAAGACACAGGTGTCACTCTAACAAACTGATGATATATAATTGGTCATGCCCTTTGTAGAAGCCATTTTGTGAATGGATAGGGTTTTTCAGGAGTCTTTTTATGAAAAAATGATCACATGTTCTCAACATTTCAATGTTCTGTAGCTGAAAAAGATAGGAGAAAAAGATAGCAGGCCATCATGTCATGTCCAAGAAATCATGGTTGTGAAAACCTTAATTTAACATCAAGTATGATTGCAGTGAGTTCCTTCAGCCAATGTTCAGTGTGACCTGATTGTGTTCTTATAATTTTCCCACTTTATGGCTAAAAATAACTTAAGGAATAGGGGAGCTTTGATTCAGAAATGGCAGAGAAAAATTGTTTATTTCCCCCCTGCCTCCTCCAGCAAACAAAGCTCTGTCTCTACAGAGATCTTCCAATGAAAAGAACAAATTTAGTTTCATTATAAATCTCTGGCACCACATATATTTTGGTTAAAAATGTCATGCAGAGGCAGATTTTTTAAAGCTATTACTAGAAGTGTATATTCCACACTTTTACTTTCAGCAAAAAGATTTTGCAAATCTGTTTCATCAAAAATTATAATAACGTAAAATAAGCAAGTACAGATAGTCCCCATCTTACAACCACAATTGAGCCCCAAATTTCACAGACAGTTGTTAAGTGAGTTTTGCTCCACTTTACAACCTTTTTGCTATAGTTGTTAAGTGAATCACTGCAGTTGTTAAGTTAATAACACAGCTGTTAAGTGAATCTAGCTTCCCCATTGACTTCGCTTGTCAGAAGATATCAAAAGGTGATCATATGATCCTGGGATACTGCAACCATCATAAATACATGCCAATTGCCAAGCGTCCAGATTTTAATCAGTGACCATCGGAATGCTGCAATGGTCGTAAGTGTGAAAAATGGTCATAAGTCCCATTTTTTCAGTGCCATTGTAATTTCCAGCAGTTACTAAATGAATGGCTGTAAATTGAGAACTACCTGTATGTAGACCAGCCATCCACAGATATATAAACTTCAACACTCAGAAACATGAGCAATGAGTGACAGTGGCTACAGAGTTCTGGAAGTTAAAGTCCACCCATAAGGACATTGCCTATATTAGGGAAGTCTTATGCCAATCCATATTGAAAAGGAGAGACTCTTTCAAATCGCCTTTAATTTTTAAAACTCATAAAGAGCTAGTTTGATGTAGTGGTTAAGGAGCTTGATTAGAAACCAGGAGACTGCAAATTCTAAGGCACAGAAGCTACTGTGGTTGGGTGATCTGGGGCAGTCACTGTCTCTTAGTCCAGGGTACCTTACTGGGTTGCCTTTGTGGGAAAAATAGGAGGGAGCATCATGTATGCTACTTTAAGTTCTACAAAAAAGAAGGGATATAAATCAAATAAATGAATAGATCCTCACATTTTACATTAAATGTCTTATATGTGTACCCCAAATGTGATTGCAATCTGAAGCAGAATTTTAGAGGTGTCTATGGGAGCTTACATCTATTTTGCAAAGAAAAAAAATATTCACAATGAAAACCTAAGAAATATCTGTAAGTAAACAGATATGAATATGAATATTCCTTTTGTCTGAATATATTTTAACAAAGTTTGGAACTGATGCTTTCTAATGGGCAACCCAAAACTCTATAAATAAGAAAAGACAATCCAAGTCTCCTAATTTTATTATATTATTTTAATTTCTCTCTCTTTGCAGGAGTCCTGTTGAAATGGCATTAATTGCTGTGATTATCTCCGTATGCATAGCTTTTCTGGATACAGGATGGGCAACAAAACCCACAACCTATCATAGTATTTGCAAACTAGTGAGTCTTTTGCAAACATGAAATAACTTTGGGATTTCTTGAAAAAAATGGGAAGAAGAGAGGTCATTTATTTAAATGGTAGTGGCTGCAGCAGCATATTAGTTCCAAGGGTTTGATCCAAATGCCAACAAGAATCCAAAAATTAACCTAACATATTAGAATGTTCAACTGTCTTATTTATCTTTTCATTTTGAAGATGTTCTTTAAAAATACAATTAGTTTCTTTATGATTTTAATTTTATATTTTTAGGGTAGGGTACCGAGAAGGGAAAGATGATTTAAAGTAGGGATTTTAACAAAAACCTGAAAGGCATCTGGTTCCTATTTCTTTTAGTTACATAGATCCATCATTATCTATGGATATTCTCAGTTATCTCGGTCATGGTTGTCCCAAAGGTGCTTTTTCAAAAGGCAATTGGACTTTGTTTTTCCTGAAGGGTGCATCTAGTCAACGACTTGTGGACGCATTTTTCTATAGTGGAATCCATACAAAAATGTCACATAGAACATAATACTAGCAACAATATGGTAATACAGATACCAGTAGTTCTTGTTTAGCAATCACAGTTGGGGCCAGAAACTCAATTGTTAAGTGAAACTGTGACTGTGCTTATGATCTTATTTCAGCTTTCCTTTGCTTTTAAGACTTTTAAAGGTTGTAAATGAGAGGATTGTTTTCCAAGTGAAATTTTTCATCATCATTGTAACTAAGAATAATCATTGTACAAGGCAGTTGCTAAATGAGGACTACCTGTAGAAGCAAAAGGCCAGGAAGTGTTTCTGGATAGCAAGTTCCCCATGAGATAAATTTATTATTTATAAATTTTATATAGATATATATTATAAATAATAAATTTATCTCATGGGAAACTTGCTATCCAGAAAAATTTCCTGGCCTTTTGCTTCTACAGGTAGTCCTCATTTAGCATATATACATCACCTTATTATTTTATATATATAATATTTTATGAAAGTAACTCAAGATGGGCAAACATAGCTAGTACCTCCCCCCCAATAACTACCTTGTGACATAGGTTAGGCTAAGACAGAGTGACTTACCCAAAGTCACCCATCTGGTTTTCACATATAAGGCTGAAATAGAACTCAGTCTCCTGGTTTCCATCCTAGTGCCTTAACCGTAGACCAAACTGGTGCTCTAATATAAAAAATGATGCTGATGATAATAATAATAATAAAATATATTATCATTATTATTAATAATAATATCTATAATAATACAGTAATTTTTCCACATTTTTCAAGATTGTTGGCTGTTCAAAATATAGTTTACAGTTTACAATAAGGGGTAATATTACCCCTTATTGTAAACTGTAAACTATATTTTGAACAGCTAAGCAACGTTGAACAATGTGGAAAAATTACTGTATTATTATTATTATAGATATGTAGGGACTCAACAGATGAGATCAAATTAAATATATTTTCCTCTAAATTTAATTCTACTTAAGTATGTATATAGCATTGTAGCAGGGGTGAAATCCAGCAGTTCCAACAGGTTCTGGAGAATCGGTAGCAGAAATTTTAAGTAGTTCAGAGAACTGGCAAATACCACCTCTGGCTGGCCCCAGAGTGGGGTGGGAATGGAGATTTTGCAATATCCTTCCCCCAGGAGGGGTTGGAATGGAGATTTTGCAGTATCCTTCCCCTGCCACACCCACCAAGCCACGCCCACAAAACCGGTAGGGAAAAATTTTGGATTTCACCCCTGCATTGTAGTATGGTGTAATATAGCATGTCTTTAGTATCTGACCTCATCATTTCCTATATGTTTCTTGCTACAGAAAAAGAGAAGTGCAGATTGCAATGGGAGGCGGCTGAGTTCTGTTCCAAAAGACTTGCCTGCTGGAATAGAGGAACTCTTCCTGGATGCCAACGTTCTACAAACTCTTTCAAATGCATCTTTCATACAGTATCATGTCCTACAGAACCTCAGTCTGCATGCAAATGGGTTGGAACTCATTGAACCTGGGGCATTTCTTGGCATTAGGAATCTTAGTCTGCTAACTGTGTCAGACAATTTCCTCTCCCTCAATTATTCTGTAACAGCATCTGCTTTATGGACTTTGACTTACCTGAGGAAACTGGACCTCTCTGGAAACCAGCTTACTGAGCTTATGATGGGCAAATTGGTCCAGCATTTGTCTTCTCTAGAATCCTTGTCTTTAGCAAGGAATGCCATCTTGAGGTTAGATGACTCTCACTTCAGAAACCTGCCCAATCTGCAACGTCTGGATTTACAGCAGAACTATATCTTTGAAATTGAGGCTGGGGCGTTTGAAAACATGCCAGCTCTGCAACAGCTTAATCTGGCCTACAACAACATACCTTGCATTGTGCAATTTGATCTGATCCAACTTCAGATGTTAAATGTTAGCAATAATCACATTGAATGGTTCTTGTCTGCAGAGAATAATGCTTCTTTTGAACTGGAAACACTAGATCTTTCCTACAACCAGCTTCTGTTCTTCCCACTACTGCCCAAGTTAAATAAATTGCAGACTCTGCTGCTGACACACAACCACATGAATTTCTACGGCAAATTTTTCAATAATTCAAACAGCTCAGTTCAGCTACTGTTCCTAGATGGCAATATCATTAACATTACCACTCAAGAACTTTGGGAAGAAAACAATCATGGCAATTTCTCTTCCTTAACATTTCTGGATATGAGCTGGAATGAGTTCTCTTATTTTCCAGACTATTTTTTTAAGGGGTTAATTTCCCTTCTTTATCTGAACCTCAGTCACAACTGCTTAAAGATACTGAACATAGAGGACAGGGAAATGCTAAATACTCTCATTGATTTGGATCTCAGCCACAACCTGCTTTCAAAGCTACAGATGAATTTGGGTTCTGAAGGCAGCTTAACCAACCTCAGAAAGTTTAATCTTAGCACCAACAATCTACATGGCTTGCCACATCAATTCTTTATCCATGTAAGAAAAATCACTACAATTGACATCAGTAAAAACCCAATCCACATCTGTTATCCATATAGTGCTACAAGCCCTGATTGTGTAACTTTTACTTATGCTAATTCTTTAAGGAACCTTTTATTGTCTGGCTGTAACCTAAGCATGTTGTCCTGCCATTTCTTTAAGGGAACTTCCCTCACATATTTAGACCTTTCTAATAATCCTAGGTTGCTTATTAGTGGCTTGGGAACTTTGAAAGATATCACTTCATCCATACAGGTACTCTATCTTAGAAATACTGGCCTCTCTGCTGCAGGCACAAAGATGGACTTTTCTGCATTTCAGAAACTGGTAAATTTGGATCTGTCTGGAAACAGTTTGGCATACTTCCCAGAATCCTTAATATACCTTAAACTTTATACTCTAGATCTCAGGATGAATTTCTACCATAGCCTACCTCAATACTTCATGGAAAAGCAACTTGGAAAGAGTTTGCGTGTGATCTACCTCAGTGAGAATCCTTATGACTGCTGCAAAATGGGTTGGTGGGATACTCTGCAAAGCCATGGAACCCTACGCATTGGAGACATGACTGACATCACTTGTAATTACTCCTCCAGATTCATCAGTGCAACAAATATACCTGAATCAGTTCACCATGACTGTAGGTGGCTAACAACGAATATGGCTTTGTTGTATCTGGTGCTTATTCTTCCCACCTGTTTGACCCTGCTGTTTACTTTTATCATTGTCTTTTTAATTTACAAGGAAAAAATTCTTCAGATGCTAAAGAGCAGACATAAGAAGCCCAGCCCATACTGAAATTTGGTGGCAGAAAGAAGCAATCTAATCTAATAGCACTTAATAATATGCTTAGAAAGCTACATTTGCAGTCACAGATTTAGTTATAATAAGCCGTAACTTGTAGTAATGGTTTACATGTCTAAAAATGACCAAATTTTATATCTAAGCACATAATTGGCAGACAGTAAAAACTATAAAATTGTAGTATGGGTTAAATTAATACTAGGAAGAAAAGTCTTTATGGTCAAAAGTAATGTATATAAGAGATTTATATTGTGAATAAGTCACAATTTTTGAATAAATCCAATTCTACAGCTTCTTGGGCAAATTTTGGAACTTTACAATACTCTAATCTTCTTCAGATGTTGTGGCCAAGTTTTATTCTTTGGTTGTTTATAAATTTATAAATAAATTTTTGAAAAATTATTGCTATCTTCAGTGTTTTGATTAGACAATGTATTTTTTTTCTGAGAATGAGAAGATAGTTAAATGATTTTCCCTCTCAGATTAAATCACAATTCAAGACATAAGTGTACAGTCTTATTGTTGAATGATATATTAAGAATATGTATCTGATAGCATATATCCTGAAGAAAATATGTTGATGATATCGGCTTTCTATCTCCATCCCAGATTGTCTGAATGATGCATGGAGGTTCTGTCTCAGTGCAAGGAGGATGTGAGGTGCTATAGATTTCTGTTACACCTAAGCAAGTCTGTGTGGCTCAGGGGTTTTGGATCTCCTGGTTACAGGGATCTTCCATTTTTGGTTCTATGGGGTGGTGTTGCCCTAGACAGACTCAGTGCACAATTTTTTTTTTGCTTTAATTTATATGCCGCCCTTCTCCGGAGACTCAGGGCGGCTTACAATGTGTTAAGCAATAGCCTTCATACTTTTGTATATTTATACAAAGTCAGTTTATTGCCCCCCACAATTTGGGTCCTCATTTTACCTACCTTTGAAAGGATGGCTGAGTCAACCTTGAGCCTGGTGAGATTTGAACTTGCAATAATTGCAAGCAGCAGATGTTAATAATAGTGCTTTAGTCCACTGTACTACCAAGGCGCTTGGTAGTAAATTCTTGGTAATCTGGGGGTCTTCTTGGATTCACAGCTCTCTTGAAGAGCAGCTGGCAGCTGTGGATAGGAGGGCCTTTGTGTTGCTTTGGGGTGTGAGTCAGTTGTGCCTATTTTTGGATTGAAGAATCCTGCTCATAATTATTCATGCCCTCATGCTCTCCGGACTGGATTACAGGTAGTCCTTAACTTACAACCATTATTGAGCCCAAAATTTCTATTCCTAAGCAATATAGTTGTTAAGTGAGTTCTGCCCTCTTTTATAATCTTTCCTGCCACAGTTGTTAAGTGAGTCACTTGTTAAGTTAGTAACACAGTTGTTAATTGAATCTGTCTTCCTTATTTAATTTGCTTGTTAGAAGGTGATCACATTACCTCAAGACACTGCAACTGTCATAAATACATGCCAATTGCCAAGTGTTTAAATTCTGATTATGTAACCATGAGGATGCTACAATGGCCATACAAATGAAAAATGGTCAAAAGTCACTTATTTCAGTGCTGTCAAAACTTCAAACAGTCACTAAATAAATGGTTGTAAGTCAAGGACTATCTGTATTGCAATGTGCTCTAGCTGGAGTTGCCCTTGAAGATCATTTGGAAGCTTTGGCCGGTGTAAAATGTGGCAGTGTAGACAGTCAATGATGTCATTTATTCAGTGTGTGATATCATGACTCAGTGAGATAAATTGGTTCCTAGTGTGTTTCAGGTGCAGTTCAAGATACAGGTAGTCCTCAACTTATGACCACAATTGAGCCCAAAATTTATGTTGTCAAAATTTGTTAAGTGAGTTTTGCATAATTTTATGATTTTCCTTGCCACATTTGTTAAGTGAATCACTGCAGTTGTTAAATTAGTAACACAGGTGTTAAGTGAATCTGGTTTCTCCATTGACTTTGCTTGTTGCAAAAGGTGATCATATGTTCCCAGGACATTGCAACAGTCATAAATATGAGTCAGTTGCCAAGCATCTGAATATAAATCATGTGACCATGGGGATGCTGCAACGGTCATAAGTGTGAAAATGGTCATAAGTCATTTCAGTGCTGTTGTAACTTTGAATGGTCACTAAGCAAGCTGTTTTAAGTCGAGGACTACCTGTACTGTTAATCTACTTTACATTCTTTCATGATTTGGTACCAGGCAACCTGTGGGACGGTCTCATCCCAATTGCTTCTACCTATTCCACCTGGTATCGCAGAAGGGGCATGCTAAGGAATGTCAGCTGGCGGGTTTAGGAAGAGAGCATTTTCTACCATGGCATATACAATTTGGAAAAAAGTTCCCTTTGAGATTAGGTTAGATCCAACCCTGACTTTCACAAAGCTCTGAAAACTTGGGTTTGGGCCTGGGCTTGGGCCTGGGGCCCCAGGTATGCAATAGAGATATTCTATTGACTATGTTGGTGACCTTTTTGTGATGCTTGGCTGCTATGTGTTTTTATTTTTATATTATGTGTTTTATCTATTTTATTGTCAGCTGCCTAGATTCATGTATGTGATTTAGGAGGTTACATAAAATAAATAAATAAATATGACTGCAGCAACTGAACTATAAGGTAGTCACAAAAAATACGACAGAACTGCTATAGTAAGGTTTGTCCCAGCTGAAAAATACTGTCATCTATATAGCCAAAAGGATTCATTTGGGTGACCTGAATTCTGACTGACAAAACAGCAATTTTCAAAGAAGTGCGAAGTTTGCCTTATGAAGATTATCAAATGAAGAACAGATAGATTTACAGTATACAGTACATGTTTTCTGTGAGACTTTTCCTATTGTGTTGCAATGCCAGCAGTTGGTGTTGTGGCAAAGAATTAAACTGCCATTGTCTGAGGAAAGCAAATAAGCTTTCGGTAAATGTGGATCTAAGTTGCCTCTTTGAGGCCTTCCTGTGGTGGAGATTTCCTTGCAGGAAAACCACATGCTGAGTAAACCTCAACTCTTATTCTGATAAATACACATCCTGAATATGCATAGATGCATCTTAGTTCATCTTTTATTTCTGAAATCTGAGGTCATGTTTCTCATTACTAAGAAACAAGTCCCTGTATAAGGAAAAGAGAACAATTTATTATATTTTTTCCTGACCCATTTCTTAGTAACTGTGAAATAATGTAACTGAAAAGTAATGATTTTTCTTCAGAAGAATAATAATACTGGTTTTTTTTCTTGTAAAACAGATGTGCAAATTTGTTATGCCATATATAGGAACAAGAAAGATTAACTGGTTGCTTTTGGTTTGAGTAAAATCAACTTTAGTTCTGAGTATTGGAGAAGACTATTACAAAGCTAATGGTGTGATAGGGCAATTGAGGAGTGGGATATTACAGAAATTATATTTACTTAATATTATAAAAAATCAAGGGTGGTGGGCAAAGAATGGCGGGATAGTATTATATGCCTTCTGCAAACATATCTATAATGTAATATTACACTTTTGCTAACCCAATTCGCTTTTTAAAGTCTTAGATTACTATTATTGGAAACTGTACTTATAGAAGTGTGCTATTGTTGGAAGGAATGTCCATCTGGGTTCAGTTCCAAGTGTGAAGAAAGACACTGGAAACATGGAGACTGCTTGGAAATATGGTTTAATGGTGGACAGGACCACATGGTTTGAAGTCCTGGGCAAAAAGACCACGTGGATGAGAGAGATTTATACCCTCTCTTGTGCCCCACCTTGGATCTTCCGGTTCTTGTATAAGAAATGTATTCTGATTGATTGTCAGACTCCCATGGGGCTATACAGGGGTAACTTTGTAGGATGTCTTGAGTCCCAGGTTGAATCTTGCTGGGTGATGATGTAATGAAGGGGCTTTGGGCAATTCCTATTATGGCTTAATGGCTTTTTCCTGGTTTGGATCTTGAGTGAAGGCTAATTCTATCATGTCCTGAGGGCCATGTCTTTTGTTTTATAGATAAGCTGGTTCAGCCTTTGTCTTGTAGATAGGTTGGCACCAAAATATCTGCTGGGGAGAGGGTGGAGTGGCAGGGAGTGGAGGCTCTGAGTTTATGTCTTTAGAAACATGTTTCTCCTTTAGGGAAAATATAATATTCTGCCTTTTTAATATTTTTCTAGGAGAGGGATAGGTGCTAACTTCCTACACTATAGTACAATTAATTCTATTAAATATATTCCATGAAGTCTCTATAGCCTATTTTTTTTTATTTATTTATTTATATGCCGCCCTTCTCCAGAGACTCAGGGCGGCTTACAATGCGTTAAGCAATAGCCTTCATATTTTTGTATATTTATACAAAATCAGCTTATTGCCCCCACAAACTAGGTCCTCATTTAACCTACCTTAGAAAGGATGGAAGGCTGAGTCAACCTTGAGCCTGGTAAGATTCGAATCTGCAGTAATTGCAGGCAGCTGTGTTAATAACAGGGTGCTTTAGACCACTGTACTACCAAGGCTCTTCCTCATTTTCAGCAGTGAGCAGAGGATACTTCACAAGAAACAATAGTTGTATTTAATGGAACAGAACATCACTTAGATTTCAAATTCTTCACAAACCTGTACAAAAAACATAGCGTTCACCACAATCATTACGACTTTGTGCGCATTCACATACTTCCTACCCAGCCCACTTGTGGTGAAAATAAAGGCTTCTTATTGCAGAGATGGGATGGGTTTATTTGCATTATCACATTTGAGTCATATCATTTGAATCTTATGCATTAATGCCTAACACTATTAACACTTTATATCCCTTGACTTTTGCCACAGTTCTTTAGTTTCAAGAACAAACTATACCTGTACATAACTGTTCAAGTGTGTTTTTCACAGAGATAACATTCACCAAATTAAACTTGCCCTTTTTGCATTTGGCTAATCTCAAAGGGCTGTTTCCAGTATCCAGATTTCAACAGTTATTTTGTTCTCACTGGCTTTTGTCTTTGGTCTTTCTTAAATGCTGTAGCTGCTTTCTACCAGTGTTACTATGGTTTTATGTATTGCATTTCTAGAATATCTGAGAGTCCGGTACTAAGGAAGAGAAACATATAATAATGTGGTTGAACTTAACTCTGCATTACATCATAAATTGATTTGTTTGGATGTTGGCTTAATTTACCCAGTCACTGTAGTTTGCATATTATGTGCAAAACATTCAGTTGTGGCTTATTCAATGAAACATAATTAAACAAAGTATGACTTTACATGATTGCATGTAGACATTTTGAGTGTTTCAAAGATAGTAGTGTTATAAAATTAAACTTTTAAGCACTTAAAAGCAGGACCAAATTGGCATAATTCCCATTAAATTTACCCTGAATAAAGTTGTAGTTTTCTTCAAACAACTTAATTTTTTTCCCAGTAATCTATGTATTATAATTATTGCTATATTTTAAGACTCCTGTTTACAAGTTTACAATAAACCATCAGAATCAATGACACATGTACCTAGCACAAATATGATTGATAAAATCATATATTGAAACACCCATTGTCCAGCAACAATCTTTACAATGAATTAAAAGTTCTGCAAAAAAGTGCTGTCTTAACTACTTCAATGAAAGCTGTCTAAGAGGGGACCATTTAGAGAGGGTACTGTATGGAGTTATATCTCTGATTATCATCACCATATATCAAATATCTCACTTGGAACCAATATATGCATTGTCCAGGGCTTCATGTAGATAATAATAATAAAAAATAGTGTTAAATCTTGCTTTATTCCAAATGGGAGAAAATGTAGTCAAATCTGCAGGAAAAAAAAATTAAGTTAAATTTCAGTTGAAGATTAAAGCACATGCTTTATTGGAGATCCATTTTGTAAAAGATGTTTTATTATCCAGATTTCTTGCCCTAAACAGGGGCTGATTATATTTTTATATAATTTTAAAATTATATTTTGCAATATCAGGAATTGCTGATATTCCTTAGAAAAAATCTTTTGTCAGATCAAGAAAATGTTACTAAAATGTTTTTATTTTTATTTTTTTAGATATCGGAATATATAATTCTTATGGATAAAACAACCTACTCCCAAATTACTCTATATCGCAAAGTGTTTTGATAAGTAACATAGAAATTCTTTTTAAGTGCAAAAATTAGCCCCAAACAGATTTTTAAATGAGAAAACACTGCCCTCTGGTGAACAAATGCTGGATTTTTTTTTAAAAAAAATCTTGAATACATATAATTACTGACAAGACATTTGCTAAATATCTACATTAATAACCTGCAAAGATACTGTATATATTTATATACATATGCCCTTAAGTCCCAATTCTTTTCTTAAATAGGATCCATTCAGTTACAACAAGTCATTAAAAACTGTTAACATGTAAGATGGCTGAGAATTCTATGGATCAAATTTTTGGTACTTAAAATTCGTTTCTTCCATCTAAGTACAATATTTTTAATCCCAATATAAATTATTTGAGAATAAAAAGCACCTGCTTTTTCCAACACAAAATTGTTTGTGCATATACACTATAGTTTCCTTGTGTCATAATGAGTATCTCTGACCATCTAGCAGCTAGCCTCAAAGTATTTTAGTAATGGAAACTGCTTCTAAAACATCAAAACAATCCTTCAAAAAGTTGGCATTGGGGTCCAATAATGCTTTAATGAGATCTTCTTTCTCTATGTGAAAATTCTAATTCAAGAATCCTATATGTCCTGAAATGTGTTGCTTCTTCTTAACTTAAGGTATGGATGAGGAATTGGAATCTGCCCAAAACTTACTGAATATCAATGTCAGAAATGAAATTTCAACATCTGAAAAGCAAAAGTTTATGTGGGAGGTGGAATAATTCAGTTTAAGAATGAACTATTTTTTAAAACTGATTTTAGTTCTTCTGAATATTTATTGAGACATTTTCTTTATTTAGAAAATTCCTGATTGAGGAAGCCTTTTTATATCTGGAGTTCTCACAATAGATCTTGCCAAATAAGTTCTACCCCATTGATGCAATTCATACGCTTTCTGCAAACCTATCTATTTTGAATATGAATGCTTGCAGATGTGCTTTCATGTACAGTTGGTTCTCTAGTGACACATCTTTTGTTTTCAGCAATTTTGCTTAGTTTCTGGGTTAAACAAGGTTCTATTTCAGAAATATTGTGTTGGATCATGCACTATGCCAATTCACAAGTATAGTAGATGCCATTTTGTGATCGTGCAATGGACAAAATGGCAGCTGCTGTTCTGGCACCTCTGTCTGCAAAAAAGGTTATTTAAGTCAATGCTTACTTAATGGATATTTCCCATACCAATACAAGAAACAATACAATTTTTCTACTCAACACATTCATGGTCTATAGACACATTTTTGCATATAATTTTAATATGAATATTTCAGAATATTTTTAAATGCCAAGCAAAGAAAAACATGTCAATCATTTTGACAGTACACAACGCTACCGTCATTGATAACTTTAGTTAAATATTGTTACTAAAACAGAAAGTATATATAATTTATAAACAGTCCCTGAAAATCCCCATAATCTTAGTTTTGCATTAAAATTCATCCTCTGTTTCTGTATCCCACTCACAAGCTTCAAGCTCCTTATCTTGTGGAAATTCCACCTCTACATTGTAGGTAAAATCTGGGTCCTCTTTTCTTTTTCTGTTCTTTTCAAACAATTCGTCCATAATTCTTTTCCTTTGGGCTAGCTCTTCATCATTCAGTTTATTTAGGTCCTCTTCTGGATCAACTGTTTCATTCTGCTCAACTTGTTTCAAACTCTGGCTCAGAGTTTGTCCTTGCAGATGGCATCTCAACAAATTATGTAACTTTTTTAGCTGCTCCAAGGATACCCCTTCTAAATATGTTTTGTGCCGAGGATTATTCTTTAGCTGCTCTGCCGCTCTGCCACAATCTGTATGAAAGGCCAAAATAAATATTATACTTTTAAAAATCTCTAAAGAAATTATGGAAATGTGCATTAGAAAGGTTTTAAATAAAACAAACTTGAAACCTATTTCTGCCTCACCATTTGTGTTTACAAGATATAACACATGGCCATAGTTTAAAATCTACATTGATACAACATAAATTTGGCAGAGTTCTGGAATTATTTCAATGTTTTGTAAATACCCAATGTTTTGTAAAGCAAAGATGTTAAAATTGGGGACAGGCCCATGTGAAGCTGTTATAGCAACAGCCATGCAGCTTTGAAAAGATTTGACATGGCAAAATCTTGAGCAACAAATTCAGACAGTGGTTCCATGAATGACCTTTCTAAATGGTTCCCAAATCTTTAGAATTAATGGCCCAAATGTATTGAGAACAAGCTAGGTCAGTCCCGATGCTCTACGAATTTAAATGGCTAATTTTTTTTAGAAATGGGGTCATACTATGTACATTCATATTGTCTTAATATACCGGTCTATTATAAATATAGATAATAAAATCAAATTTATAAAATGAAGTGAGCGAAGTATGAGAAGTCAATGAAACAATTCCATTCCCAAATAAATGCAGAAAAAATAAGCAGCGAACACTACACGGACGTGAGAAAATACCAGTGATAAGTTTGAAATATATCATATTGTACCTGAGAATTTGGTAAAATTCCGGATAGGCATGATGCGCTGGCGCAGATTCTTCTTATCCTGATCTTCATAGATCAAAACGATAGAGGGAGGCTGTAACTGGATGCCACACTTTTTGGCGACATAAGACATCCCAGCTTCTGCTGTAAAGCTCAGCAAGGACAGATCCCAGCCATTTAGTTTTTTTTTTTTTTCGGAGAAAACTATACTCGGGACAGGGCAGCGCTGCATTTAAAAGGAACACCGCGGGATTTTTGGCGGTTTACTGGAGCGTTCCGCGTAGCGTCGTTCGTCGGTAAGTTAAGGGGCCAGGCCGGCAAGCAGAGGACTTCCCGCGGGGTCCTCCTCATCCAGCGCTGCTCTAAATTGCATTTTTTTCTGCCGTATGGTTATTAATTAAAAATCCGGCCTGCTCTTTTTCTGTAGGAAGGGCGAGCGCGCGGCCTAGGGGCGCAAGAAAGGAGAGGGTAGGGTAGGATGCCTCGCAGCGAGGAGGAGAGGCTGCTGTCAGGCCAGCCAGATCTCCGCAGGACGCAGGGCGGTTGCCTACCCGAAAGAAGGCGCTGTTCAAGGCGGATGAAAGCAGCGCTTTCCCTCTTGGCTTGGTAAACTATCGGATCCTGCCGTCTTTCAGCCGGGCTTCCGCTACAGCCGTCCCTGCGGATTGAAATCTCTCGCTCTGCTTTTGGCAACCGTTTAGGGACCAAGAATCGTGGCTGGGAGGAGCAAATGACGGCCATTTGGTCGCGGCAGGAATTCGTTTGCAGGTGCTTGGAGGCCCGCAAGCGTTCATTTTCACGTTAACGAACCACAGTTCCGCGTTTGGGCGGAGGAGTCTAACTTTGAGACTCGAGTCGCGAACCTTTAGGAGCCCAAATGATAGTGGTTTCCGGGCACTTTACTGCGGATCACCTACATGGTGTGAAAGAGCGCGCAGGTTTTTTAAACTCCAGAACTCCTCAGACACAGAAGAGATTCTGTAATGTTCAAAAAGCTTGTATATCATTAGCAGTTTGTGCCCTTTGGGTTGATCCTAATAGCGCTATGCAGCTGTATATTTGTTTTTTTAAAAAATAGATTGACAGAACTGTAATTTGTATTGCATTCAATAGCTGGGTTAAGTCAAAGTAGCAGAATCTGCTAGCCCTTAAAACAGTGTTTCTCAACCTTGGTAGCTTGAAGATGGGTGGACTTCAACTCCCAGAATCCCCCAGCCAGCGCTGCTGGCTGGGGGATTCTGGGAGTTGAAGTCCACCCATCTTCACGCTACCAAGGTTGAGAAACACTGGTATAATACAAAAGACACCTAGGGCACATCTACACAACATGTGGATAAGGAATGGTTACCTCACTACTGCGATGCAACGCTCAGCAAAAAAACGAAAGCCGGTGAAAGTATATATGACAACTCTGGAATCCGCGGCCACTCTCGGGGTCGAACAAAGCAGCCTATCGGAGCATCTCTGAGCAAGCGAGGGAATCTCCTCCTCCTGCTGCTGCCTTACCAACAGTCCCATGAGCTTAGCCCCCCCCCCCCCCCCAAAACAACCGAGGCGCGTTTGTCTCCCCATCCTCAGCATCCCCAAGGCTAGAAATGGGAGCCGGGAAGCCGCGCCGGACTTGACAAGAGAGCCGATTGGTAAGGGAAGCTGCCTCCTCGGCCCCCCACCTCCCCTCGCCCCCCACCTCTTTTTCCCCACCTTCAGTGTGCCTGCGCACGAACACGGAACGGAGCGCGCTGAAGCGTCGCCCTACAGGCTCGCCTGACCTTGCCCTTGTAGGTGGGCACGTTGCAGAGGATATCGGTGCGTAGCGCCTCCTCGGCGAGGCTGCGAGCCGCCAGGCTGCGCCACACCTCGCTGTTCTCGTCGCCGTGCAAAACGCGGTACCACAGCTTACACACCAACGCGCAGCTCCGTAGCTCCCGGAGGTCCAAGTAGGAGAAGACGAACTCGAGTACCCTACCGGGAAGCCGCCAACCCCCCGCAGCGGCGGCTGAGTTCGGCGCTCCGCCGCTGCCGGCAGCCGCCGCCGCCGCCGCCGCCGCCATACCCTCAGGCGATTGACCACCGGCCTTCGCGTCCTGCGCGCGCACGCCTTCCAAACCGACCGGCCCGGCCCAGGCGAAGGCGGCTAGAAACCGCGAGCCTACCCGCTAACCAGAGAGCCAATCCGGCGCGTGCAAAAGTAGGAGGTGCTACCCTGCCAACGAACTCCTCGCCTGTTGCCGGCAAGGAGAGGCGGAAATGAACGCTTTTGTTTGATATGGAGCTCGTTGTACGGAGGCTGCTCCTGACCTTACGTTTCCGAGTAGGGCAGAGGCCAGAACAATCGAGGGGCCTCTGTTGAAGCGGGCTTCTCGGACAACGCACCTTTTACTTATTTTATTTTAATGTCATGCGGTATGGAGCAGGGCCTTGAACGTGGGCCGGCCATTTTGGTTGAGGGCATTGCTGAGCCTGAGAAAGAGGATGCTGTCGTAAGCGCATGCGCAAAAACTTCACCTGTCAAGGGAGAATGCTAAACGGACCCAGCAGTTTTTCTTTGCCGGAAGAGAGTTTGGGATCGGGAGAAATTCGTTCTTTGCTTTGAGGTAATGCAAGTATCGAGTGAACTAGGAAAGTGGTGGCTGGGTTAAGGTCGCTGATTTGTTATACACTTATTTGGAAGACTATATGTATTTATTCAATGGCCTCCTATCCTATCTCAAACAGGCATTGTGCCTAAGGATTAAGTTTACATTGAAAAATGATTGCAAGGCTATTGCAATATTTAAGTTTCAATATACTGGAATTTAGATGTTTAAGTATTTAAACCAGTAGGTGCTTTACTTGAGTAAGTTAATCTAAAAAAGAACACAATACAATCACCTTTTGATTCCTCAGTATATATCAAAACAAAATGTTACCCTGCTGATTATTTTTTTTTCCAGTCTGCCTTGAGATATGATGGCAAAGAAGTGGACCAATGGACATTCTTCTTCAGTACTAAGCTTAAACGTGAGCAAAGATGGTCTGTTGGCTTCAGGAGCAGGAGGAGGGGAGCTCACAATTTGGAATGCTGAAGGAAATCCACTGGAATGTGTACGACTTCAAAAAGCAGATGATGTCACTAGCGTTATATTTTCTCCCACTTGTTCTAGAACACTCTATGCTTCTCATGGGGAAATTATTAGCATGCTGGATACTAGGTGTCTCAAGGAGCCAGTTGAATGTTTCCATGTAAATGAGGAAGAGATCAATTGCCTTTCAATAAACGAAACAGACAGCTTCTTGGCTGCTGCAGATGATTCTGGAGCCATAAAGATAATTGACTTAAAAAGCAAAAAGTTGAGTCGCTGCCTGCAACGACATTCAAATATTTGTGCATCTACTGCATTTCGACCCCAGAGGCCACAAAGCCTTCTTTCATGTGGCCTGGATATGAAGGTGATCAGCAATAGTTGAAAGCTTACTAAATATCACTTATTTGATAGGTTTATATGTGTACAAAGATATGTAGCAATTGTCAATTGCTATAATTGTTCAAAAATAGATTGTTTTCTATAGAGGTATAGAATAGAACAACTGAATCAGATTTTAAAAAATCCTTTCTGAAAGTTAACTTGCTCAGAATCTCAACATCAGCTGCACAATTAAATCTAATGCAGAAGTAGTTAGTGCAATATCAGCATTGTTTTCCAACTGCAACCTTACTTTGATTGATGCAGAAGATAGAAAATTGATTAAGGATGGAAGATAAGGAAAGAAAAGGATTTATACACAATGATAAATTATTGCCAAGAAAACAGACGTTGTTGCCAGATGAGATTAGTTTTGGCTTTATCCTTTGGAATAGATATAGATTTCTGCAGAGTGCAGAGAATGGAAAATTCCAAATGAATAAATGAATAAAAATCAACTAAGTTAGTATTAGATTTAGATTAGATCTTATCAAGAACCATCTGTAATAAAGTTGATGTAAAAATTATGCAGTTAATACTTATTTTCCACCATAGTACTTGTATCTCTAATAAAAATAATTTTTATATATTTGGCTTTCTAAATAATATACTATAGAAGACTGAGTTCTACAGAATAGCAGTTTAATTTTCATTTATCATAATTGCACCTATCTCAATTGAGACTTTTGGTGATTACAACAATTAAGAGCAGATAATACAACCATAAAACCCAAAATAAACTATACTACCAAGAAACCTTCCAATTATCATAAGCCCTCTAAAATAAATTTTCCAGAACAAAACTATAGAAGCCAATCTAATTTCTGGTAGAGTCTATTCTGTAACACATACGGTGCCCCTGAAAAACAGCATCTACAAGTCTCTGTCCCATGGGTTTTAAACATTTTCATAGCTTAGGTGTAACTGCTGTGCTGGAAACCTATAATTTCAGTATAAAATAGCTTAATCAACTTGGCAGATATAAGATTTGTAGTAAATACAGTAAAAACATATTTTGCTATAAAATTAATATTTTTTAAAAAATTTAAGAGTCCCTGAAATTGAAGCAGTTTATAAGTTTCAAAAATAATGAAATGATAGTAATTCTATATTAGATATAATTTAAGTCAACAGATGCTTTTGATCTATAACCTAAAGCATAATTTATTTCAGGTCCATCACTTTTGTATTCTGGGAAGCATGATAATATAAATGAAAATTTACATTTACATGACTTCTGAATTAAGAAATCTTAATTATTATTTATTTTGTTTACAGATTATAATGTGGAACTTGCAAAAAACTCGCCCACAATGGATTATGAACTTGCAAGAAGAAGAACCAGTTGAGCAAGGGATTGGCCAACTCTTTAACCCACCATTGGTTCATTCATTGTCTGTTTCTACTTGTGGCAATGTCTTTGGCTGTGGAGCTGAAGATGGTAAAATCAGAATCTTTCGAGTAACAGGTGCCAAATTTGAACAGCAAGTAGCATTTAAAGGTCATTCATTAGGAGTGTCACAGATTTTCTTTCTGCCTGAAACGTATTGCTTTATTACAGGGGGAAATGATAGAAAAGTATTGTTGTGGGATGTTAGCAGTGAAATTGGAAAATTGAAAAGTCCAAACAAGTCAATTCACAAAAAGAAAAATGCCACCAAGAAAGCTGACAAAATGAACGCAGAATACACAAATGAATGCCTATCCATTTCACCCAAACTAATCATTGAACATGGAGAGAAAGTGAACTGGATTTCATATGTGTCAATTAATGGTTCTAAGAAAATATTTGTTGCTGACCAAAGTAACGATATATCCGTGTATCCTATTTCTTGAACCCTTCATATATTTAGGTAAGCAGTCAATCTCTGGTGCAGTATTTTGAATCTACTAATTTTTTGATGCATTATTCCTACTACCTCCCATAATTAAGCCAATTCTGTGTGCTGCTAAAAATTATTTTGGTAGTACATATATAGTACTACTTTTGGAATAACTAATTGGTATGACCTTACTGGTAAGCTTGCAATAAAAGTTATGTACTGTGTTTCCCCGAAAATAAGACCCTGTCCTATATTTTTTGAACCCTGAAATAAGCGCTTGGCCTTATTGCCATGCACTCAAAAGCCCGATTGGGCTTATTATCAGGAGATGTCTTACTTTGAGGGAAACAGGGTATATGTGAATAAAGAACTGGGTTTTAAAACAAAATAAAAATAGAGATGTCTGTTTTAATATACATTTTTATAAATTCTACTGGCAGAAATAGACTTTTAAAATAACAGAATAACAGAGTTGGAAGGGACTTAGAGGTCTTCTAGTCCAACCCTTTGCTCAAGCAGAAAACCCTATACTATTTCAAACAAGTGGCTGTCCAGTCTCTTCTTAAAAGCCTCCTGTGTTGAAACACCCACAACTTCTGAAGGAAAGCCGTTCTACTGGTTAATTGTTCTCACTGTTAGGAAATTTTCCCTTAGTTCTAGGTTGCTTCTCTCCTTGATTAGCTTCCATTCATGTTTCTTGTCTTGCCTTCTGGTGTTTTGGAAAATAGGTCAACTCCCTCTTTGTGGCAGTCTCTCAGATATTTAAACACTGCTATCATGTCACTCCCTAGTCCTTCTTTTCATTAGACTAGCCATACCCAATTCCTACAACCGTTCTTCATATGTTTTACCCTCCAGGTCCCTAATCACCTTTTTGTTCTTCTGTGCATTCTTTTGGTTAAAAAATAAAAACTGAGGCGATAAATGAAGGACCTTGAACAAATTCTGTAAATATCTCCCATTACTGTTTTGGAGGATCAGCAGCAAATTCAGGCAGCCGTGGGTTGTTCAATCCAGAATAAAATTTCTATTGCAGTATTCATGGAACCTGGCTCTTTTAAATGTTGATAAGTTGTTTTTATCAAAAAGTGTAGTATATGGGATCTGATATTTGCTTTGCTATACAAATAGCTGACCAGGTCTATTCAGGATCATTAATGCTCAACAACTTTATATCTCTGGTATATATGGAGAATTGTTATTGTTTAAAGAAAAACAATGAAAATGAAGTGTATTTTTTCTTAAACAATTTATAAAGTAGAAAACTATATTTTATTTAAAAGAATTCAATTACACACACACATACACAAATATTAGATGCCTTTGGTGCAATCCCAAAACAACTGGAACGCCACTCGAACACAATTGGTATTGACAAATTCACCATCAGTCAATTGCAAAAAGCAACTCTATGCAGAACAGCTTACATTCTGCGATGTAATTCTGTGATTCTGTGATGATACCTCTAACAGCATAAAATATCCACACCTGTCTATTCCAGTAGATATTTAAGTAGATAAAAGTGCCAAATACAGCCTGAATATCTTGCTGAGTGTGGGACGAACAATACATCCATATATCCATAAGAAATTAACCTTTTGTAAATTATTTTGTTAGGACATAGCCTAAAAACAAGCATGTGCTTTAAATAGTACTTATGTGAAAATAAATATTAACCATGACATGATAATTTTGAGGAAAACTTTAGTTGTTTAATTTTAAACATTTCCTGCCTCTAAGGAATAGTTGTTTCCCCTGCTCATAAATGCTTAGAACATATACAATGCTAAGAATTAAAATCATCTGTGCAAACTGAAAATAAGTGAAAAAATAATTTTAAAAAAGGAAAAATATATAATGAAAAAAACTTTGAAAATATATTCTAATGGAATCCTTAGCAAATTTTGTAATGTGGTATAGGCAGTGGTGGGTTGCTACCAGTTCTCCCCGATTCTTGCGAACTGGTAGTTGAAATTTTGAGTAGTTCGGAGAACCGGTAAATGCCATCTCTGCCTTGCCACACCCCAATCTATTCGCTGCCTCCCGAGTCCCAGCTGATCGGCTAGAAGGAAAAAATCAGGGCTCACTTGACAAAGAAGAGAGAGAGAAAAAAAACAAGACACCTTAGCTTTAAATTGAGAAGCCAAGAAGCTTCCCAACTGATCGGCTAGAACTGATCCGCTCCTTGTAAACCGTTCGGTGGTGGTAGATTGGCAATTGAGGCTAAGCTGCCTGAAAGTGGTTTCCGATGCTCTCGGTGGTGGCAGAGCAGCAAAAAACAGTTTAAACTCTTGCCGCAGCGTTTCAAAGGGCCGTCCTACAGCTGATCAGCGATAAAAGGCAGTGTGGTGGTAGACCACAACACTCCAAAAACAAATGGGTAGACCGGTACAGCTCTGCAAGCAGTTAAAAGCCAGTACTTCTGCTAAATCCTAAAGAATTGTTTGTCACAGGACCATCAAACCATGCCCACAAAATAAGCCACGCCCACAGAACCGTTAGTAAAAAAATTTAGAACCCACCCCTGGGTTCTAAAATAGTTTTCCTATTCCTGGGAACATAGTTTGGTTGTCTGATTCCTCTACCAAAAAGTAAACATTTGTTTTATTCGAAGCAGGCGACTAATGAAGACAGCCAATTTAATACAATATTAGGCATAAAAGGTATATAATACATACTAAATATCAAAGATGCCTCCATTTATAATTATTATTTCTGTATTGTGCTGTTTTTCCACCTCCTACTATGGCATGTTTTACATGGATATACAGTGACCTTTCAAGTGTTGCTGAACTACATCTTTCAGAGTCCCTTACTATCAGCTTACATTGGAAATTGAGTCCAGCAATGTTTGAATTGCTGGATTTTGTGCAGGCAGGTTGGACTTACACTATATACATTGGATGAGACCTATGAGACAAATAACCCATTTATTTAATTGGATGCTCTTTATCTAGTTTTAGGGCTTGTATAGAAAACGATCATTTTTAGGTGATATTTATGCAGAAATATTGAAAACTTAAAAGGGTACAAAAACTTTTAAGCACCACTGTTAAGATCCAGATTCAGATTCATTAGATCTGAATACAATACTACAAAATAACCTAATGAGAAGAGCTTATGTTTAACACCATTGATAACGTATTGGTACAAAAAGACAAAAGAACCCTGATCTCCAATTATTGCTGAACTATTCCCCAGAAATCCCAGTCAGCATACCACTAAGTGAGTATTGCTAGGGTTTGCAATTCAGCAACTTCTGCGCTGCCAAAAGTTTCAAACGGCTAGAAATTTAAGAAAGTTACTATATTATAGATTGATATGAATTTAAAATTAATGGTTGATTATAGCAATCCTATATGTGATCCTATATGTGATAGAATTCGTTATCATTTCCTTTCATGGAACCATATGATGTTTGTAGACTTAAGTTATGTTTGCATGAAACTAAGAAGGAAAAATATACTGTAATTACCACGCTGTAATTTAATAAACAATGTGCTTGTGAGTACAGTATGTGTTAATATTCTATATTTGGATTTCTTAGCTATAAAAAGCTTTAAGAGAAAAGTGACCTTCAGCACCAGTTGGATTACTGGATATATCACTGCTGTCTATTGCAAAACAGAAGTCAAGAGACTGTGGAAACATACGTTTCTTATTCCTGAAGATGGCCAAAGAGCCTTTATCTCTGTGTGTCCTGAACAAGACATTAAACAGGTCACAAGGGGGAAGTTGACTTTTGCTGGGAAAGTTTGTGTTGGGAAGGGTCTTGGAACTGCATTTCATATCTTAAATATATCTTCTGAATATTTTTTTCTGACCTGTTCTGCTTCATAAATCTCCATAATGTCTCAGATAAAAGAAATATAATATTGTACTTGAAATTATTCTTTTTTAAAAAATGGTGACTTACAAAGGATCAGGGACCAGGATGGATGATGGAAAATGCCTACTTTAAAATAAAAATTGAATGTTTCTATTATTATGCATTGTTTTATTTCTTCAGAAATACCAAAATAATTGAAAACAAACTAATTAGCAGCATTTCACTTGTTTCATCTTTTTTCTGGAGAAGGATTTTTAAAAATAGACAGCTGCTCTGTAATTTAGCATTTCGGGACAGCAATGTTAAACATGGAACATTATAAATAACTGAAATGATTGTGCATTTGTGATTGTATAATCTGTTTGTACATTGTGGCAATTCCATAGAGTAGGATAGTTATTTCTATAATGAACACTGGAGAAAAATAATTGATTTGCTTGTGATTTAGTTATAAACTATACGTTTATACAACTGGTCAATCAATATCGATTACATTTTATTCACTATATTTTAGGAAAATAAATGTACCAAGACATCATTTTACTCCATAAAAGAAATTGACCTTCCCAAAGCGTTACTAAAATTTTCAAAAAAAACCCACTTCATTATTTGTATAAATTTAAAAAAAAAAAATTCCAAAAGAAACAATGAAGTAGACTAGATTGTTGGTTCTACATGAGGAAAAGATTGCAAGTAAAATGCAGCATTATGACAACATCATATATAGACCATATGGATAGAAGCTTAAGAATCTAAGTTACAAACTCATATAGCAGTCTTTCAAGTGTAAATCATCTATTATATGAGAGCTCTTTAGTCAAACTTGAAAACTTTCTTTAGAATGGGAGGGTCTTGATTCTAATTTCCTTTGGCTTTTGAATCTTACCAGAACTGAGAATAAGCTACAAACTATAAAGTCACAATATGTTGTATTAGATTCTGGCATTCAGAAATTATCAGAGAAATTTGACTTTTGGAATACGGTTCTAGAGCAAGATGAGATGTGGACATCACTGCTAGAAGACAGGTAAGAAAAATGAAAATATAGGTTATTAAAAACTTTGGGAGTAATATAATGGCTGTCTGGTAATGGTATCACAAGTGTTTTTTGGGGTTAATAAAAATGTAACAATACTTTGATAGGCTTAATAGACTATTTTTTTTTTAATTTTTATTTGATTTATATGCCGCCCTTCTCCGGAGACTCAGGGCGGCTTACAATGTGTTAAGCAATAGCCTTCATACTTTTGTATATATTTATACAAAGTCAGCTTATTGCCCCCACAAACTGGGTCCTCATTTAACCTACCTTAGAAAGGATGGAAGGCTGAGTCAACCTTGAGCCTGGTGAGATTCGAACCTGCAGAAATTGCAGGCAGCTGTCTTAATTACAGGGTGCATTAAACCACTGTACTACCAAGGCTCTCTTGGTATTAACAAATTCTATTAACAAATGAATAGATTATTAAGTACCTTTTTCCAACTTTGTGTCCTTCAATGTGCTGGACTATAACTTCAAACTCTCTTGGAAACATGGTCAACATCTGGGACTTTTCATACTAAGTGGAAGCTCTCAGAGTTGTAATCTAAAACATCTAGAATAAGGGTATGAATAATGCTAGCTTTAAGATTTAACAAAATGGCTTTAAAACAAAGACTTTGTTTCCATTATGAAATGTTTATTCCAAATAGTTCAGTTATGGAGCATTAACCAAATATTGAAAAGAAAATTGAATTTTACATGCATATTCTAAATAAATATTGCTTTAAATTTTATGTGGGCATTGAAATGGAATGTTGGGAATTGTATTGAATTAATAGAACTGTAGATGTGTGGTTGAATTCCACTTTGATATACCATGCACTTGTTAAATATAAATATTACAGGTTTAGGCAGCAACCCTAAAGACATTTTTGGAAATAATTTTAATTTAAATTAATGGTGCTTACTTTAAAATGGAGACCAATAGAATTTTGCAACATGGCTGCTTCTCAAATGGAAATAATTTGTGTGCCTATTGATATAAGCGGTAAAGATAAATTATTTTTTTAAACATCTTTTTGCAGGTTTAATTCTGTGGAGCTAAACCTCTTCTATAGCTATATCTGTGAAACTATTCAGTACCTACATTCTCAAGTGGTAGAAAGTATTCCTGATCTTGCCAGAGTATTGCCTACACTATCATCTGTTCTGAGGAGGAAAGATAAAAACAAAAGAATTAAGTCAGCATGGGAATCGGCACTGGAGGTATTGGGACTCCAGGAAGAAGATGTTAAAGTATTCTGTACATTTTTCATTACCTACAGCCAGGACGCAAACTACTTTCCTGATAAACTAAGGCAAGATTATACCCAAGACATCCAATCTGTTGTAAACAAAGTGGTGAATAATCAAGTCCTTCATCATAGTCTGTTATGTGCTATTAATGTAGTGGAAAATAAGAAAGTTTGAAGATATATTTAAGCTGCAAATATATTCTGAAACAATACTTTTCCTCCAGAAATACATGAAACATTCTCCTATAAGGGAAAATATTTAATTCAAATTGACTGAAAGATGCAAAACTTATCAGTTTATGTATAATTGGGAGAAGCAATATTGGCCTGCTTTACAAAGTTGTGGAACAGATTACATAGATAATGTTTGTGAAGTCTGAACACCAGAAAGCACAATGTAAGTGCTAGACATTTCCATTTTGTGTATAACATCTTTTAAAATCCTTCCGTTAGTTATTTCAGCAGAGGCAGTGGACTGCAGCTATCATGTATTTCATTTTGTTGTTTCCTGTGTTAAATATGTCTAATCCTTGAATAGCAGATGGAATTTATTATTTATTGATTGATACCTAAAACCTAGTTGTGTGGATTTAGGCTATTACTTATAATATATAACATGTAACATTTTGTGGCACAAATGTATGAGTTTCTATCTGATGTAGCATGCTGCCAAATGTTCAACATTATATTACATACAACAGAAATATCACTATCAAATGTCCATACTTGGTACGTAGATGACTGAGAAATTAGGAGTGTGTCCCAAAGGTGATGGAAAACTATCCAATTAGAAATAAAAACCAGAATTGCTCTCTGATCACTAAAGAGATTCCAAAGAGAAAATCTCCAAAATCTCCCACTGAATTGACAGTCATTTCATATTTGAATGACAAAAAAAGAACTTTTGTACAAATGGAAGAGACGAACGATATACAAAAGCAGTTCTTTTTGGATGAGCAGCTTTATGAATGATATAAACAGAAAGAAGATAGGCTTTGAAAATTCAGAAGGAAATGGACAGTGAACAGAAAACACTAAATCGCAAAAAAGGCTCCCCTGATTATCATTTACACTCTACAACATCTAAACCAGTTGGAAAATCCTCAGCTGTTTATAGCCTATACATCAGGGGTAAAATTCAGCAGGTTCTGGAGAACCAGTAGCAGAAATTTTGGGTGGTTCAGAGAACCGGCAAATACCACCTCTGACTGGCCCCAGAGTGGGGAGGGAATGGGGATTTTGCAGTATCCTTCCCCTGGAGTGGGGTGGGAATGGAGATTTTGCACTGCCACGCCCACCAAGCCACACCACACCCACCAAGCCATGCCCACAGAACAGATAGTAAAAAAATTTGGATTTCACCACTGGTATACATGGTTTTTTTTTTTTATTGTTTTCCAATTTCTTGAAAACTTTGGTAAGATATCTCAGCATTCAGAATGATTAGAAAGGATATAGCAACAAAAAGATGCAGGCTGAAGTACTGATGTTTACTGTTGCACTCAATTGTGCCTTCCTTTAGAAATCTCCACCCCATTTGTTTTTTGTTCAGCTTTATAAAAATGGTAATTCTTGTAGCTGGGTTCAATAAATCATTCAGAGAAAGATATATAATCTGAAGGATTTACCTAAAAGTGACAGTACAATAAGTGAATAAAATAATTATTTTTCAAACATTACATTTAGTATTCTATCTTTTTTGGGTTTTCATTTTTTGAATTGTTCTCTATTGCCATTATTGCATTCTGGAGAAAAATGGATTGTCATTAGGTGCTTGGATTGATTTTCAAGCTAATGTTCGGATGTATTTCTCGAAATCCTCTAGTTTTTGTCAATTTGTCTGAATTTCTTCGGTCATCTTTTTAGAACTAAAACACTTGAAATACTTGCATACATCATGGCTTGTGCCTGTGTATTTTTAATTCTTTGATTGAATATAGTTATGGATAAAAGCCATAGTCTGAATTTATCTATAATGTTCTCAGCATGAAATTATTTTTACTCAGGAGGGACTGATATTTTTGAAACACTGGAAGTTGCAATTGTTATCAAAAAGTTCTACCAATGGTAATTTCAGGATGTTGAGATGATCATTTTGCAAAGCAAAAGTAGCTTCCAGAGATTCTTACAGTATGGAAATACATAAATCCAAATACAAGAATCTTAAAACAGTCTGTGTAATTGGTGGAGTATATATGTCAAGTATTTAATCAGAAGCGGTTAAGTGTTTTGGCTCTCTCCCACAGATTAGGAGTTAAATACTCTCAAGCAGCTCATTCACTGGCCATAAACGTTTACACTAACAGTAGGATAAGTTCTTGATTCCTCTTGCTTTTGTAGCAATTCTTGGTCCGGTTGTTTCAAATACAGATCGTTTTCCTGTGTTGCCCAGGATAGTTAGGCCGGACGATATCTCCTTTTTTAAACTGCTGTTTTCCACATTAGTAGAATTCCATGTAGCTTCGCATAAATTCTGTAATTTATTCAGTGTTTTTCACCTCTTGCCATCAAACGGAATGACGCAGTTGGGAAGACCACTGACGCTACACACTTGGGTTTCTTCGGTTCAGGTTTATTGCATTTGTAGCGACTGCCCCTTAAGGCAGCGTTTCTCAACCTTGGTAGCTTGAAGATGGGTGGACTTCAAATCCCAGAATCCCAGCGCTGCTGGCTGGGGGATTCTGGGAGTTGAAGTCCACCCATCTTCAAGCTACCAAGGTTGAGAAACGCTGCCTTAAGGTAAAGGTGAAATCCCTTTGGGACAAGGGGAAGAACTTTTTTGAGAGCAGGCTTGAGACAATTGTCAAGCGCTAGAACGGAATTCCTCCGGCCACTAGAGGGCAGCAGTTGAAGTCTCCGATACCATTTCGAGAAGGACGTCACACCTTTCCCTTCTTTACGTTATTACGCTTGATATTGAAATTGAAAGCACGCAAGAGAATTGTGGCGCGGTAAATTACGGCAGCGCTGTAGGACTGGCAGGTCGCGAGTGTTATTGACATGATAGAGGCGGCAAGATGGCGGCGCCCAGGACCTCTGCTGCCGCCTCAGTGTTGAAATATTGAAGGGGGTTAATCCTTATCACGGGTGAGGCGCGCGAAAACACAGAATAATCTTAAGAGGCTTGAGTCCGGTGCAGCTAAATGGGGGAAGGGGCAGGTGGCGCGGGGTCCGAAACGTTGTCTTCAAGGGAGTTGGCGGGAGATAAAAGGGGAAGGGGCTCCGGTAGGCCGGCGCGGGGATGAGGGAGAAGAAGCCAAGGTGGCACCAAAAAAGAAATTAATGAATCTAAACGTTCTAAACGTTCAGATAAACGTTCATGTTTATCTGCCCTTGTACCTCTTAAGGAAGCGTTGAACCAAGAAATTAGATGTGTATAACATGAGCTTTAAGTTAAGAGATAAACAGAATGTATGAGAATTAGGTCATGAATCACAATTTCTGTCCAAAAATTAAGCTCTGCCCACATAACAGTTCATTTTCTGAAAATGATATTTTCAGTTAGCCTCACATGACTTTAATTCAATTTATAATACAGTATTGTCCACTCTGGCAAAACTGCTTTTAAAAAGACTATATGGAAATAATCGGGTATCTGTCGTTTTCAAAAAAAAAAAAAAGTTGATACAATTGAATTTCTATGTTACATTTTTTAACTTCTGTAGCTTTAAGTATCTATCCAGAAATACTTCAGGAGAATAGGAAGCATGTTTGCATTGGGAAACAATGTATTTGCCTTCTTTAATACTGCCTAGTAATAATGTAATATGTGAGAACGTTCCTTACTCATAATTCATACATTTGTTTTTATGCTTTTACCATAGAATAGTATTGTACTATATTTTTAGTGATAAAGATTAGGTATCAGGTAACATTCATAGATCGTGTGAAAAATGATCTAACGGACACAATTTTAATGCTGCCTTTTTACTGATCTTAAACAGATAATGTGCTACGTATTTTTGTAAATGCTGATGATGTATTAAGGGAATCATTTTCCTTCCTGGACTGAACATGCCAAAAGAATCAGAGACCCCACTCTCCTTGGCTGACTGCCATTGTAATATTTGCATGGATATTTTTGTGGAACCAGTCACACTGCCATGCCACCATACTCTTTGTAATGCCTGTTTTCAACTTACTGTGGAAAAAGCAAGTTTGTGTTGCCCTTTTTGCCGTCGGCGTGTCTCATCTTGGGCACGATATAATTCTCGCAATAACACTCTTATTAACTTGGAGTTATGGGAAAAAATTAAGAAACATTTTCCAGAAGAGTGCCAACGCAGAATTAATGGACAGGATCTAGAAAATTATTGTAAGTAAAGCATTGCACTAGCTTGGTTCACATATATGCTTGCCTTTAGTGTTCAGAAGTTTATTGTAAAATTTTAAAGAAAAAAAAGTGAGAAAATTTGATATTTAATAATTCACTTGGTGGTCTCTTTTAACTAAGAATATATCTAATTGATAAGAGTGATACATTTCCAAGGTCATAGATTACTCTTTGTGAAGTATGGGCAAATAGATTAGTGCAATATAAGTTATTAGATTTGTTGAATTATTTGTTAAACTAAAATAATTCAGTAATACAAATATAAGTCACCATTGTTAAAGGTCAAATCTTTTGTTTTTCCTGGATAAATATCCAGTGAGGCTACATTTTTATTTATTTTTTATATATTAGGTGTACTAAATTGCAACCCCCCCCCCAGGTTGATAGAAAATATTGCATTTAAGTGCATGGATGTGTGTATGTGTGTATTCATATTAATTTGTAACTTGTATCTTTAATTGGATCATAATAATCATATTTTGTCTCATCACTGCTTTGTTTTTTGGACTAGTGCATCTGCCTCAACCAATACACTGTTTAAGTAAGCCTGGAGAATTAAAGAAAGAATATGAAGCTGAGATCACTAAGGTAAAATAGAAAGTTGAATGGTGATTTTGCATAATAAGCAGTTTTGCAAGGGATCATAAAATCCTGACCAGGTTTGAGATTGTTTGTGGGCACTAAAGGCCTATGCATTAAGCCAAGCCAAAATATAAATAGTCTTCCTTAAGAAGTATTGAAATTAAAAAAATGAAAATTCTCAATCTATAAAATAAAAAAATGTTAAAAATAATGATAAATTTTGGGGTTAGGTGGAAGCAGAACGCCAGGCTTTTGAGCAAGAAGAGAGCAGAGCAAGTGAAGAATATATTCAAAGACTACTAGCAGAAGAGGAAGAAGAGCAAAAGTTAACAGAAGAAAGGAAAAAAAAGATAGCAGACCAGTTGCTATTAGATGAAGTGTTGGCACGAGAACTGAGTTTAAATTTGGTAAGTTTAACTGAAATGACAGCTAAATAGGCTCAGTTAAATCTTCATATTTTCTTAAATGGCATTTTTAATATTAGCATTGAAACAGTACTTAATACAATAGAACCTCTGGTCACGAACACTTCTGACCAAATCGGGTTCCAACCCAAAAATTCACTTTTTTTTTTCACGGCCGATTTTCTCTTCCGCACCATTTTTTTTTTTTGTAAGCATCAAATTTATTATTTTATTATTTATTTTATTAGTCATATTTCTATGCCGCTCACTCTCCAAGGACTCTGGGCGGCTTACACCAAAGACAGTATTCTAAATAGCATATTGCCACCTAACAATCTGGGTCCTCATTTTACCCACCTTGGAAGGATGGAAGGCTGAGTTAACCTTGAGCCGGTGAGATTTGATCTGCTGATCTGCTGAACTAGCAGTCAGCTGAAGTAGCTGCAATACTGCACTCTAACCACTGCGCCACCTTGGCTCTTTCCAAAATTACGTTTGGGTCATGACCAAATTGGATTGCGACCAAAGTTATGGAACGAATTATGGTTGTAACCAGAGGTTCTACTGCAGTGATGGCTAACCTTTTTGCCATTGCGTGCCAAAAGCGGGGGGAGCGTGGGATGGTCGCATGTGCATGTGCCCACACCCATAATTCTATGTGCACATGCACATGTGACACCCCCCTCCTGCACTCGCCACGCTTTTGGCACGCGATGGCCCAGTTGTCCCGGTAGGCCCGTTTTTTTTGCCCTCCCCAGGCTCCAGAGGCTTTCTAGGAGCTTGGGGAGGGCAAAAACGGCCTTCCCCACCCTCCCAGAGGCCCTCCGGAAGCTGGAAACGGCCCGTTTGATGACTTCCAGTGGGACCGGAAAGCCCAATAATCAGCTGGCCAGCGCACGCATGTGTGCCAGAGCTGAGCTCACGTGCCCACCGATATGGCTCCGCGTGCCACCTGTGGCACGCATGCCATAGGTTCGCCATCACAGTTCTACTGTATACTTAATTGGAAACTTTTTCACTTTTCTTCTGTAATCAAGATAAATGTAAAAAATGCTATCAGATTGTTAAATGATGTATTTTGCTATATCTGTAGCAGATTTATTTATCGATTAGATTTCTATCCTGCCTTTCATTTAGGAGCACACATTGACATATAAAGTCCTCTCACCTATTTTTTCCCCACAGCAGCATTTTGGGAGCTTGGAAAGAGTGAGTGGTCCAGATTTACCCACTGAGGATCTGTACTGAAGGTGGATTACAGCCTAGTCTCAATCCAATATCTGACCGTTACAGCTCACTTAGAACACCCCATTCCAGAAGTAATTATGATATAAAAGAAAAAATATGAACACTCAGACAAAGGCAGATAAATAGTCTGTTGTACAACAAATATCCTCCTTCCTTAAACCTGGATTAAGTTATATAAAAGCCAATATAATTTCCAATTGACAATCTATCACATAAATTGGTGGATGATGCCATATGATAGTATTCTGGTACAGTAGACAGGAAAGCACTGTTGATACAAACAAAAAAATTTCTGTGTTGAACATGAATGCATATGTATCAGTTTCTAAAAATGTAGGATGAATTGTGCACATCACCACTGGAGTATTTTATTTTTTTGTTGGTAAAGCAGCTTAATATGGTTTTAAAATCAGCTGGTGACCTTGGGCCGGTCCCATTCTCAGCCCACCCAACTTCACAGGCTTGTTGTGGAAAAAATTGATAGAAGTATCAGGTATATTCACTGCCTTGAATTATATATTAAAAGAGCAGGAAAATAACAATAGGCATGCTTTTTATCTGGTGTTTTGTTTTTTCTTGGCACTGAAGAACAGTTCTGCTGAAGAGTCTGTTAAAAGCAGTCCAGTGCCTGGCCCGTCCCCTTCTGATTGCTGCAAAACTTCAAAAACCAAATCAAGCAGTTATGGAGACATTAAGAAGTAAGTAAAATCCAGTTACATAGTCAAAGTTAGATTAGTAGAGTATATGCAAATTTGTATAGAATAAATAGGAGAGAAATTTGTCATAATAAGAGTTTATAGATATTTCATTTTGACAACTGATATTTCAGTTTTTTGAAAACGTTTTTGAAAAAAGTTCAGAAAGATGTATTTAATCTTTGGCAGGCAGCAAATTCTCTCATTTCAATACATACTTTAAACATTTTCTAAAAAAAAAATCCCTTGGATTATGAGGTGATATAGTATAAAATACGTTCCGGATATCCCAAAGGTGATTTTTGAAAAGGCAACTTGACTTTGTTTTACTTAAGAAAAACAAAGTTCAGTTGCCTTTGGAAAAATAATCTTTGGGACAACCATGACCTGGATGACTGAGAATTTCCATAGACGTTCTGATTATCCATATAATTAAGTTCTAATAAAACATCATTTGGGAAGATAGAACCTAATTTACTAGGCAAATCATGTTCATAAAGCAAAGAACTATTTGATTATGATAGTTTACATTATTAGTTACAGTTCAAGTTTAGATATAACATTACACTGTGATTATAGCATCAGCTACTGGTTTTATTGCAGCTCTGCTGGAAGAGAATGGAAAAGAGTTGCTGACAAGCTTGTTTGTGTAACATTAAATCATAATTTAGGACTGCAATCATTGTTGAGTCAATTTTAACTCTTAGCAACAAATTTAATTTTAACTCTTGGGGTTTGCCATCACAGTTTTTCTAGGCCTGATAGAGGGACTGTCCCAAAGTTACCCATGTGGGTTCTGAGCCTAAGATAGGACTAATGGGCCTCCCCACTTCTAGTTCTATGCCTTAATCACCAGGTCAAATTGTCTTTCACTATTAAATTAGCTATTTTATTGATGTTAGCTACACAGTGATGCTAACATTTGAGATGGGCAGTCATATATATCTCTAGAAATAAATAAATGACATAACATCTAAAACACTGAAGTGTAGCATTATTCATATGCTAGTGAAATGTACTTCTTCGTGACTTGTACTAAGCCATCATTACCTGCTAATAAGAAAGGGGTCAAGCATTTCCTCTTAGGCAGCTGTATTTGAATTAGATAATTGATTTCTGATGTTTTTATCAGAGTTCCTTTTTTTTCCTTAGCTGCCATAAGAGAAAAACAAGATATAAATTAAATGAATAATAATTAGAAAGTTGAACTTTTATACCCTAGGAAACAGTATTGTGCTAGAACTTGTTTATAATCATTGCAACTATATGCTTGGTTTGATAAGGTCTGAATTAGTGCTACTGACCAATGAGAAGCAAAATGTTTAGCATAACCTTAGGATAACCTTGAACTCACTTTGGAAACATCTTTATTCCTTTTATCATATTTATTCAATTTCTATCCTATCATTTCATCCAAGAATGATCCTTAGACAGCTAACAATAAAAAAACAAAACGATGTTTGAACAATTATAGAAATAAAATACTAAAAATAAGTCTAAATTGTATCTGGATAACTTTTTGAGAGCAAAGCAGGAACAAGACATAGTTCCAAACTACATATATAGAAATTCAGCACTAGCCCATTGAAAAGAAGTAGAGTCTTAGGGTTATATTATATCCACTTTTCTGAGAAATGAAGTAAGACCTATGTTAAGTTATATTCAAATGTAAATATAATGTATATATAAAAGCTTCTTTTTCTTTTGTGTTGTTTTTAAGGTATTTATCTCCAAAGTCTTGTGGTTTCTTTCCTCCAAAGTTGCTATTTGGAGAATTAAAAGAAGAAAACATTGACACTCTTTCTGAGGTATGCATATGTATTAGCATTTCTATATAGTACTGTATAATTATAGAAATTATATATTGTATAGAATATAGAATATATTTATAATACTATATAGATCTATATAATACTATATAGATATTATATAATTTCAATATACTATATATAAAATTACAGTAAAGTTCTGAATCTCTGAAACTTTTATTTGAAAGTCAAGTACCATCAAATATTTAATGTTCCAATGTTTCATGAGCCATAGTCATCAAAAAAATTCAGTTTTTTCCTATACAAAAAAGTGCATGATGGATATTTTGACCTTTGTTTTTTTTCCAGGAAAGCATTAGAGCTAAAACTCACTTTATCTTGGAAGATGAAGAAATAAAAGATGATATAACCATGCAATCTTCAGAGACAACCGGAGAAGGAAAAATGACTAAAGATTTTCCTTTAGAATCAATGGGTTCTTGTTTAAATACATCTGAGTTCAACTGTCATGGCCCTGAATTGTCATCTTTTTCCAGGAGTCGGTTAAATGAACCAATAGAGGAACGCGTTACTAAGAGAGAGGACGATGAAACTGATTTTTTCTCAATGAGTAGTGGCTCCAGTAACAATGACTTTGGAAATAAAAATTTTACAGAAAGTACATGCTTACTAAAACTTCACAAAAATGACAGCACTGAAGAAATCCTTATTTCTTTGAAATCTAGTAGTCAGTTGGACAGCAAAGATATAACCTGTGAAGAAACAAAGGTAATGAGAAACTATCCAATTGAAGATAAAAACCAGAGTTGCTCATTGATCACTAAAGAGATTCCAAAGAGAAAATCTCAAGAATCTCCCACTGAATGGACAGGGGATTCATATTTGAATGACAAAAGAAGAAGAACTTTTGTACAAACAGAAGAGAAAGAGTTAAACGATATACAAAAGCAGATACATATGGAGGAGCAGCTTTATAAACGATATAAACAGGAAGAAGAAGATAGGTGTCTGGCTTTGAAAATTCAGAAGGAAATGGACAGAGAACAAAAAATACTAAATCGCAAAAAAGGCTCCCCTGATGAGTATCATTTGCGCCCTACAACATCTACGGCAGTTGGGAAATCCCCAACTGTTGGGAAACATTGCAAACTCTTAAAGGCTTCAAACAGACAGACAGAAATAAAGCAACCCAAAACACACAGACGTTCCCACAGTGAGAATGAGAGGACCTCTAGCAAACGCCAGACAAAACCATCTGAAAAAAATGGGAATGTTCTGAATTGTGTCCTCAACTCTGATTTAAAGGATGTAGAGTTGCTGCCAATCAAACAAAGGACGATTATCCAGATGTTTAAGAAATCTGCAACAAATTGACACATTCACCAAAACCATTGTAGATTAACAGAAAATTTTGAAAAAGATATTCTGAAAAACTGGCAAATATTTATCTCTTCTGGTATTAGCTGTTCCCAGAATTAACAGTTAATGTGTTGCTTGTTTCAGAAACAGCATTTTTTCTGTGCCTTTTTCTTTGAATTCTTGTGTCTGTTCTTTAATACATCTCTCAATTTCTACTCTCAATTTCAAGTTGAACTGAATGATAATACTTGCTGAGTTGTCATAACCATGCCACTGTTATCTGTGAACCTACAAGACGGTGGTAAAGGCCGTCTTTAAGACAGATATAGCCTAAGATACATTCTCATTTTTCTCTTTGCTGGAATTGTATTTTTGCTTTATGTGGTTTACAGGTTTCACCAGAAAACAATCAATTTTCAATGGATTCATTTCGGAATTTTAAATTTGATATTTTGTAAAAGTATAAGAGGCACCAAAGACAGTCAATAGGAAAATCACACTTATTTTCATTTGTAAGTAATGTCTAATATATAGATTATATGTCATTAAAATTACATATATAATTACTATTTCATTACAGTTATTTAAGCTGTAACAGTCATAATTATTTCCTAAGCATAGTTCTAATAAATACATCCAACAGAGTTCACACTCTGATAAGAGAGGAAGGTTAATTTAGGGTCATGATTACAGCCTATGTAAGGTTTATATATATGGCTAAATAGAATTGTTTTCCTCGTTCTTGAAAACTTTGGTAAGATATCTCAGCATTCAAAACATTTAGAAAGGGTATAGCAGCAAAAAGATGCAGGCTGAAGTACTGATGTTTACTGTTGCAATCAATTGTGCCTTCCTTTAGAAATCTCCATCCCATTTGTTTTTTGTTCAGCTTTATAAAAATGGTAATTCTTGTAGCTGGGTTCAACAAATTAATCGGACAAAGATATATATTCTGAAGGATTTACCTAAAAGTGACAATACAATAAGTGAATAAAATAATTATTTTTCAAACATTACATTTAGTATCTTTGGGTTTTCATTTTTTGAATTGTTCTCTATTGCCATTATTGCATTCTGGAGAAAAAATGGATTGTGTTGATTTTCAAGTTAATATTCGGGTATATTTCAAAATCCTCTGGTTTTTGGTCAATTTGTCTGAAACCTCTTGGTCATCTTTTAAAAACTAAAATCATATTTAAAACACTTGCATACATCATGGCATGTTCATGTAGGTATTTTTAATTCTTAGAATGAATATAGTTATGGATAAAAGCCTTAGTCTGAATTTGTAATGTTCTCAGCATGAAATCACATTTTTACTCAGAAGAGACTGATACTTTTGAAAAGTTTAAAGTCACAATTACTACCAATGATAATTTCAGGATGTTCAGATGATCATTTTACAAGGCAAAAGTAGTTTCCAGAGATTCTTACAGTATGGAAATACATAAGTCAAAATACAAGAATCTTAAAACAGTCTAGAACGGGTGTCAAATTCTATTTAATTGAAGGCCACAGCAGGGTTGTGTTTGACCTTGGGGGAGGTGGGTGTGGCCAGGGTGGGCATGGCCAGCTCAACATCACACCTGTTGGCATCGGTGGTGGCCCAAGCGCTCTGCGAGTGAAAATGGGCTCCCGAACTCCATTTTCACTGGCAGAGGGTTGCAGGAGGCCGGGGCAGCCGAAAATAGAGCTCGGGAGCCCATTTTCACTGGCAAAAGCACTGCGGGCCACTCCTACACTGTTTCCAGGGTGGCCCTGGGGGCCAGATCTGTATCTCCCAGGCCAGATCCGCCTTGGGGCCTTGAGTTTGACACCCCTGGTCTAGAAGATGTAATTGATGGAGTATATGTCAAATATTTAATCTGAAGTGGTTTAAGTGCTTTCTCTCCCATAGATTGGATGAGTTAAATGCACTCTCAGGCAGCTCATTCATTTTACACTAATAGTAGGATATATTCTTAATTCCTCTTGCTTTTGTAGTAGTTGTTGACCCAGTTATTTCAAATAGTTATTGGTAAGCCTGGTATTCTCCAGGTTTGCCAGTTTTCCTGCTGGCAAACTACTGTTTCTTGCGTTAGAATTCTATGTAGCTTCACAGGAGTAAGTTCTCGTATTTGCGCTCCAGTTCACATCTCGCCATCAAACGGAATGATGCAGTTGGGAAGACCCCGACGCTACACACTTGGGTTTCTTCAGTTTAGGTTTATTGCATTTGTAGCGACTGCCCGTTAAGGCAGTCTTCAAACTTGTCAGCTTTAAGACTTGTGGACTTTAACTCCCAGAATTCTCCAGCCAGCTATGGGAGCTATGCTGGCTGGAGAATTCTGGGAGTTGAAGTCCACAAGTCTTAAAACTGCCAAGGTTGAGAAACGCTGCCTTAAGGTAAAGGGGAAATCCCTTTGGGACAAGGGGAAGGACTTCTTTTGAGAGCAGGCTTGAGACAATTGTCAAGCGCTAGAACGGAATTCCTCCGGCCACTAGAGGGCAGCAATTGAAGTCTCCGATACCATTTCGAGAAGGACGACGCGCCTTTTCCTTCTTTACGTCATGCCGTTCATTACGCTTGATATTGAAATTGAAAGCGCGCAAGGGAATTGGGGCGCGGTAAATCTGCGCCTGCGCACTAGGACCGGCAGGTGGCGAGTGTTGTTCGGTGATAGAGGCGGCAAGATGGCGGCGCCCGGGGGCTCTGCTGCCGCCTCAGTGATGAAAGGGTTAATTCAGCAATTCACCGCCATCACGGGTGAGGCGCGCGAAAACACGGAATAGGTTTAAGTGATTTGAGTCCGGTGCAGCTAAATGGGGGAAGGGGCAAGGTGGCCCCGGGTCCGAAACGTTGCCTTCAAGGGAGTTGGCGGGAGATAAAGGGGAAGGGACTCCGGTAGGCCGGCGCGGGGATGGGGGAGAAGAAGCCGAAGGCGGCACCGAAAAAGAAACGCAATGGAGCGAACCGAAAAAGAGAGAACTTCGAGGAGGGAATGCTTGGAAGGAATTGTACGGAGATTCTTTTGTGGAGGCGAGGGTGAAATAAGAGCAGCTCTTTCCTTCGCTTCGGGGACCGCAGTGTGACATTTTCCAGGAAGAACCAGACTTGCGGTTTGCTGGCTGTGTTTTTGGTAGACGAGGAGACGGATGGTAGTTCCGTCCTTCGAAATACCAGCCTATTTCATTCTCAAACTGCGTGAGACAAAAAAAGGATCGTCATCCGCCTTACCTGGGTGTCTGTAATGTAAATGTAAAGTCGGGAAAAATAGTGATCAGCAGAGGTAATAAATAAGTCGGGCCAAATTCCATTTTAAAGGGCCCTTGGGAACCTTCTGGCCTCCAGCGTCAGTATTGTAAAAGTAAAATATTCCCGAGGTATTTTTGCGTTTCTATTTAACCTCCGTTCTGACTATATGAAGGTCCCAAAGTATGAATATTATTAGAAAACAACGGTTGGGAGTGGGGAGAAACAGTTGTCTTGAGGGATTGAAGGAGGATCAATAATACCTAATATTCTGTTTCGAACAGCAACTGATCCATGCCAAATGTCTAATCGTTCTAGAATCAAAAGCAGAATAGGACTGATTGTCCTTTCTTGTTTGATCTTTTAATCAAAAGGTGGTGCCTCTGAAAAAAGAGGCTTCATCCAGTAAGGATTACAAGTCCAGCATGGAGAAATGCTCCAGGGAGATACCTAATCTTTTTAAAAGCCTATTCAGTTTATTAAAAATGCGGTATGATGCTTGCCAGAAACATATTTTCTTGACTGAATTCTAGAGTGTAAGTGATGCTCAAACGCTTCAGTCAGCAGATTTCAGAAAGGAGCTTGGTTTAGGATTGGAGTGCATGCAGAATTTCTAGATTCAGTGCCTAATATCTTTGTTGGAATAGAAAAAAATATTTGGTGAAATGCTGGAGAACTAGTAGTCAGTGTTGTTGGGGAAAATAGGAGGAAGGAGTATCGTGTGTGTTCACCGCCTTGAGTTATTTGTAAAAATAATAAAGGCGGGAAATGAATAAAATAAAATAAACAAAAGCCATTGAATTTCATTAACATTAATTATACATTATGGAAGAAAATATGTACTGATCCTGCTCTTAGTTTTCAAAATCATTTTGATATAAATATATGACTTCTAATTCTTCCTATTCAGAGTTTTATGTGTTATTAGTAAATGTAGAAAGTTCCATTCATATAAGCCTTTCTGAACTAACTGAAAGCTGGAATGATATCTATACTTAGCTGAAATTCCATTAGGCTTGGTAGGACCTATTATTGAATTAGCATGAATTAGCGTACTCTGTGAAGAATACAGGTAGTCCTTGGTTTACGACCATAATTGAGCTCAAAATTTCTGTTAAGTGAGACATCTGTGAAGTGAATTTTGCCCCATTTTACAATCCTTCTTGACACAATTGTTAAGTTAATCACTGCAGTTGTTAAGTAAGTAACACAGTTAAGTGAATCTGGCTTCTCTATTGACTGCTTATCAGAAGGTTGCAAAAGGGGATCAGACACTTTAACTGTCATAAATATGAGTCAGTTGCCAACTTCTGAATTTTGATCACGTGACCATTGGGATGCTTGTAATGGTTGTAAGTGTGGAAAACAATCTTAAGTTATTTTTTTCAGTGCCGTTGTAACTTCAGTCATTAAATGAACTGTTGTAAATCAACTACCTGTATATGGACAGTTTTATTGGCGCTGTAAAACATATTCCCAGAAAAGAAGTTTTTTGTTTTAGAAGCTTTCATTTTATTTTATTTCTGTTGCATTTACCTCGGTTCCGGTTTAAATCTTTTTTCTATTTATTACTATTATCCTGTTATTTCTGAGAAAAATGTACTGCACTACATTGAACTGCAGTAGTTTGTGCAAAAGGAAAGAACATTAAGTTAAATACTTAATCTTTCAGATATAATTTAATATAGCTGTAAAGGTCTTTGTATATTGTTTTCCAATAATTTCTAATAATTCTAATTAGAAATTATTTCTAATAATTTCTAATTGTTCTGGTGATATTTTGTTGAGAAAGAAAGAAGGCTTTTTTAAACAAAAAAAAAATGAAAATACAAAGTTTTTCATGTGTTTTATACTACAATTCCCATCAGTCAAAGCCAGCATAGTTCATGGCAAGTGATTATGAGATGTGTAGTCCACCAACTAAAGGGTACCATATACCAAAGGGATCCAACTTTGGTAGTTGGATCAAAGGATTATAGTCAACGGTTTTAACACTTTTCCCCCAAAGCTATTATCTATAGTTATTACTGATTGTTTAATTGTACTGAGACCTTTTTTCATTCTTTAATAATATGGTATGGAGCTTAAACCTTGTCAAACTTTGAAGCAGATGGAAACTCCTCAAACTTCTTGTGTATTTCTGGTTGCTTCAGAGTTCAGATAATATGAGACATGCATATACTCCAGAGTCCTCCATTTCAGTAAAAGGTCTGTAACTATTCCTGCAGTTGTGTTGGAAGTGCAGAAGTGCTTCCAGGTTGAAAGGATTAGATTGTTGTCCTTGCACTAAATTTTATAGGAATACGCCATTGAATCCTCTGTAATTAACAAAGGATGTGTGAGAGGAGATAGTAACAGAATATACTAAAATCTGGCAAAGAAAATTGTATTGAAATGGTTTTATTATTGGTAAACTTTATACACACACACTTCGTCATGCAGAAAAGGGAAAATTATAGAATTGAGAAGGCCCATGTTCTAGACTGACCTCAGACACAGAAACTAGTAACTGACCTTAGGCGAGTCACTGTCTCTCAGCCCTAGTTGAAAAACTTCCCAGAAAAAGATAGCCAAACCACCTCAATATTATTGCCAAGAAAATTGTAAGATCTCTCCAGAAATCATTAGGAATACAAAAGCAACAAATCAGAATAAAGTATTTACATGACTGGATTATGTTGATTTTTAATATATAAAAAATATTTAGTCTGTTGTAAAAATACATTATATTCACTTTATTAAATTAATATTTTTTTCTCTTTTAAAGCTTTTGTTAATACTGTTTTCATTGTGTCATAGGTGCCAGTGAAAGTGCAGGCAAACATATGCTTGAAGCATGCAACAATAATCTAGAAATGGCTGTCACTATGTTCCTTGATGGTGGAGGAATTGCTGAAGAACCCAGCACTAGTTCTGCAAGTGTATCAAATCTACGACCACATACAGAGTACGTAGTGTTGTAAAGAGGATAATTAAATTATCTTTGAAATTTGTACGTATATTTCAGATATTTTTGCTTTTACGTTCTTGGTTTTTCTTATGCAGCTGCTTGTTGCTCTGGGTAGCTATTTAATCATCAAAACTTTTAAAGCACAGATCCTTTGTGAGACTTGTATTACCACTACCAATTAACAAAATTAACAGAGAGCAGTATAATTATTCTAGCATGATTCAGGCAACACCTATCTAGTTTATCTGGATTCTTTTCAATTTCCAGAAACTAAAGCACAAAATAAACCTGCAGCATAAATTCTGCTATTCCCCACTTGACCGATTTATGTGGGATATGTGTGGGTGGATCTGAGAGGTAGATGATACTTTACTGCAGACAAGATTGCTGCCTTTAGCAATCTGAAGGAAGCAGTAGTATGTCCCCTTCTAAAATGACCATTTCTTGATCCAGTTGTGTGATACAGCTACTGGCTGAACTCCAATGTTCCCCTCTCTTGGGAAAGTTTAGGAGAAAGTGCTAAAGCTTCAGTTTCACAAATTCTTATAGGAAATAGATTTTATTGGGTCTTTTTTGGGTGGGAGGGCTTCAAAACAAGGCGTGGAATACTAAATAGTTTATTTAATATTTTCTTATTCAAATAATTTTTTATGAAATTGCTGGTGAAGTACAAATCAAAAACTTAATTAGGGAATTATATTCTATATAAATTTCCTTTTTTTTTCTTGCTAATTTGTGCTTGACTTATTTATGATGTTATGTTCTTCATACCTGTATTGAAACATTGGCAATGTTTCCCTTTGCACGAATGCCAATCTTGAAATTAGACCTTCAATGTCATTGCAGTTGATTGTAGTTCATCTGTATTTTGTATAATAACATTCCAATATTCCATTTGCCCAGTAACTGCACTTCCATCTGCAATTGATATTTTGTCTCCTTTTATTTGGATTATTTTGTTTCCATAAAATTTACCCTTCCTTATTTGCTTTATTAAACAATAGTCAACTGCATAGTACCTGTAAATAGTTAGATACAAAATGCTCTTGCATCCAGTCTAAAGGTAAAGTGTAAAATTTTCCCCTTTCCAGTCGGGTCTGACTCTAGGGGGCAGAGCTCAGAGCTCATCTCCATTTCTTAGCCGAGGGTGCCAGCGATGTCCAGATAGCTGGGGCAAGTAATGGCAGCTCATCCTGTCACACTGTGCTCTGGTCTTGAACCCCAGCTGTCAGCTTTTCAGTGTCTTTAACCGCTGAGCATCACACCCCCATACATCCAGTCTAGAACATTGAAAAATTGTTTTAGTTGAGAACTGTAGAAATGAAGCTGACATCACTAACAATTGCTTGTTGCTCTCTCCATCCCCCAGGAGCACTCTGCAGGCCTCCCAAACTCTCTGCAGGCCCCGTTTTTCACAAAAATGGGATGAGCGGAGCGGGGCTTCAGGAGGCCAAAAATGGCTCTTTTTGGGGGGAAGTGCATCTTATACTCTGAAAAACAATATTTTGCAAGTAATTGTAGCCAGGTTGATTCTTCCCATACCTTTTTATTAAAGATTTATTAAAATGAAAATGTGCAAACATGTCAGGAATTTTGTCTTGTTCCTGACATAAAATGGTAAAGACTAAATCCAGGCATTTGAGCACTTTTTCCTTCTGTGTAATCACAAGAGCAACTTCCAAACATTCTTTTCTTGTTCCTGGTAATAATTAGTGGTAATGGTAATAGTTAACTCCAATGCATGCTTCCAATATAGGTATGAAGAACAGACTTTTCTCTTGCCCAAGTAATACTGACATTTTCAAGCTACTATGTGCTTTTTGTCTTCGTAGAGATGAAGTGAGGGCACCTATTCCTCAAAAACAAGAAATTCTGGTAGAACCCGAACCCTTATTTGGTGGTAAGCTTCTTTTTTATGTTTACATTTGGTCTTCAGAGAATGAACAGAAATTCTACATTATCCTTACAATGGAGATAGTAAGATCTTATATACTGAAAAATATGTATAACAGGCAACATTTTTTAATACCCACTAAGATAGTGAGATTTTTATTAGTTCATTACTGTTACTGTTTTTATTTTGTAAATAAGAAACTGAGGTAGAGGAGTATTAATATCACTGTAGTAGTAATTCCTAATAAGATTCTTTTTAAGAAGTTATATATTTCTGTTTAGTTATGTACAGTAGATTTTTCTCTAGATTTGTAAATAACAATGTATATGTCCTGAAAGTATGGTAATTCAGCCTGGAAAATTTGGGAGTCTTTGTGTTTATTATCATAAGTGGGTCTTAGATTTTTTTAAAAAAATATTTCTGATTATGCTACACTAGATTATGACCTAACAAAGCAGTAAGTTATACCATCATGCAGTCAGACACAAAATAGCATGTCATAATAGAATGGATTTTATAATTATACGTTTTGAACATGTATCTCCTGATATGTATAATCTATGACACATGCAGTACTCTATTAATACAGAAAGCATGTGGATAAAAAGTCTTTGCTGGCATCTTTCCACCAGAGTGAGTAGGAAAGAGGCACATATCTTTGGTTTACTCTTTTCAGGAGTGCATGGTAATAGCAAGTCAGATAGAATGATGATACATTCTTCTTTTTCAAAAGTATCACAAATTCATTATGCCTCATTCACTCATGCTCACCATTGGTTGTTGCTTATACATATTTCCTCCACCATCACCACTCTTAAGTATATAGATACGATTTGTTTGTTTGTTTAAGGAGTCCTGTCTTCTGTATCAAACAATTAGGTCGTAACGGAATCTTCATGCAGTCACTTAATTGCCTCATGATGAGCCTCAGATTAAAGAAAGAATATTCTTTGTGTAAGAATGGGTTCTAATCTCAAACTGTCATAAATTATGTTTGTTAGTTGGCCACAGAGACAAAATAGGGATTTTTCCAATGTACAGTCTGTTTGGTGCCTGGGGAGCTCTTCCCAACTGCATGGCACCTGGATTCACAATTACTCTATAAGAAGATATGTTTGTTACTGATAACTTCCTTTATCCTGTAACAGCCCAACTGATTTCCCCCTCTTTCAAATAATTACAGATGGGATACAAATACGGTCACCCAGTGTCTAATAATTAATAATAATAATAATAATAATAATAATAATAATAATAATAACAACAACAACTTTATTGTCATTGTACGTGTTTACACAGTATACCTATAAAACAAAATTCACTTAACACCCAAAGACCAGGTCCAACTCACATAACAATCCCCAAACATACTCCCACCCACCATAAATTCCCCACACCTAAACCATCCAGACATCCACACAACAGACCAAGTAATGCTATCCAACAGCTCTAATCATTAATTTTCAATAACATCTGCAATGACCAACTTACTAACCAAACCCAAGGTCAGAAGTATAGTGTTGCTATTACAAGCAATCCTCCTTCAGTCCCCAGTTGCAACTACCTTTCATCTTTCCAACATCAATTCCAGCCCATAGGGCTTCCCACAGTTGAGTACATTCTCAGAGCAGCAAAGCTGTCCTGTACCTATTCTTACATAACAGCTAGGAGCCTTTCTACTGCCAGTCTTGTCTCCCAGCTAGAGATAGCTTTGTTCAGAATCCATAGCTCACCCCATTTGAGTTATTTGTGTTTTAGTTGGCACAGTGATGACTCTTGTAAGAGCCTCTCCATTACTAGGCCCCATAATGCTCCAGAGTTGTCAGTAATCAACCCAAGGCCTTTTATAAAACCAAGAACTCTCTAGCCCCCTCCATGTCTGGTCTCCTTAATATGGTATAATGTTTTTTCTTTATTCCAACCTAAGTGCAGCCATGCAGCAGTCTGTATTTCATCTTCTGGATCCCCAGAGTAGAAGTATTGGCAGAATGTCCACCATAAGAACATTATTGTGGCTGCTGTTCTTCTACACTTGGGATGATTTTGAAATTCCAAGGATGGCCACATCTTTATTTTCTCTAGGAACAGTAATTTCACAACAAAATGCAGGGTGCTTCACTGTGCAAGACAGATTTAACTTTTAGATGAAGTCATCCATGTGCTATGTTGCTTCAAATCCAGAAGATCAGTGAAATGGTAATGTGAGCCACAACGTTGAACATAGAACTCAGTGTAGCAGCTCCAATGAGGAATCAACGTACTAGGCTTTAGGCATTCGTTTGGCTGAATTCAGAAGCAAACTCCAACTAACCAAACCTTGAGAGTAAAGGTTCATTCTTCAAGCTTGTGGGTTGGTTTCTGAACATTTTGTTACCACGCTAGGTAACATCTTCAGCGGAGTTTATGGGATGTCAGTGTTCTGTTTATAAGGGCTTCAGCTATGGGTGTGTCAGGTGAGGGTCTTGTGACAGGTCTTGTGATGGGTCAGCTGTGAGACATCAGTGAGTCTTGTGATGGGTCTTGTGATAAGGATATTACCACAGGTCAGGATTGTTGGGAGGTGAACTGGGGGGAGGTGGAATTGCCTGGATTGGCTGAGGGTCAGTGCTGTCTCTGGTTTGCTGTATGGTTGATTTGGATTCTGAGGTAATTTCCAATTTTGAATGGAAGATTTAACCAAATCTTCCATTCAAAAATCAGAATACCAGCATACTGTGAGATATAAGACCCAAATATTTTAATCCTCACAATTCATAAACAAGTCTGGTTCACAAAATCAAAGGTTTATGGGAGATAAAATGAAGAAAAATAAAAAGCGGTTGCAAGCACGGCCTCTTAGACCCTTCCCAAATGGATTGAGTTCAAGGAGTGCCAAAAAGCAGTTTTCAAGCTACATATTTTATATTCCTACACAATGCACCCCACGCCTAAGAATCCCTCCCAACTCCCCTTTATTCTCCTAAGTCATTCTCCAAGTTGTTTTACACTTTAAAGGGTCATCTTGACATTTCCTGCCTAACAACAACTATCTTACCATGTTTACTTTTAACTTCACCTTGGGCAGATGTTCCTCTTTACTGATAATGGTTTTGCCCAAGGCGTAGGTTCCTGTCTCCAAGGGAGCTTTTAGCAAGTCATGACACGTTGTCTCTACTAATTACAATTTGTGGTCAGTTTGCAATAGTAAGATCATCATAGCTTTTTAATACATTAAATACCTTTATAAAAGAATAACTTATTATTCATATACTTCAATACAAATGGATCGTTCCCAATTGCGGCTTTTTCCACACTGTTGTTTTCCAATATATACTGAACTCCTTGGGAACGTATCCCAAGGAGTCTGAATACTTCTGAATATGCTGTACCTATTCATTCTAAAAGTCTTCACAAATTGCCTTTCTGCAACTTACATCAGTACTGGTGAGAATGATGGGAATTATATTGCTACACGTATTGCTTTTCCATCAGACTTGAATCTAAAAAATGACTGCAAAATCTAGTCTGTAAGAGACTAGTTAAGAACACTGTTCTTTTGTCTTGCCAATTGGCCAAAATGTTTATTTTAATCCACTTTTGTCTGTGGCATGGTCTCACTGTGCATTTCTATAAAAGCAGTAGTATATTATCTGATTATTTTCATTATCATTTCAGACACAGATGTTGCCATTTTTACAGTAGCTACTATTTAGATGTTTCCTTTGTACTACTCTTTTCTGATCAGTTACTGCCCTAGGTGACTCCATAAGTGAAATTTATATTTTTGTGCCAGAATGCACCTTTTGTACTTTCTCATTTTGAGCCACATTAAAATATTAAACAAGTGTAAAGATTCATTTGAAGCTCTTCATTAACCTATTGTTTTTACCAACCTGATCACTTAACATTATAAGAAAACTTGGCTACCTTCCTGTTCATTGCTAACTCCTGATTGCCCACAGATAAATGTAAAAATACTTCACCAGATCTGATCCCTATGGGATCCCACTAAATATTTGCCTAACTTGAAAATTGACTATTTAGTCCAACTATTTCATATTTTGGGGCAGTTTCTGAGTCCTGAGAACATCTGAGTTTACTCAGTATTCTACTTTATTAGGAAGTTTTGAAAAGTCTAAATAGATAGCTTCAGCTGAATCATTTTTGTGTAGTTTAAGAGAGCTAAATATCATCTTCCTATGTTAATGGGTCTCCACAATATCTATCCTTTGAATTTATACTATAAAGTTTCAGTAGCATTAATGACGCTTATTTCTGAATCAACAGGTATAAAATTTAATGGCTAGTGAGCCATTTAGGCATACATACATTTAGAATGTAAAACCTGTTTATAACTACAAGGGCAAGTGGATTGAAATGAAGAAATATTTCTGGACCAAATCTGAGAAAATTATAAATAGATTTTCTTTCAACTTTTATATGGCTATCAAGGAGCTATTTTTCTGTGATGCTGACTGTTTTTCTAGGGTAATTATGCATTAGTAAGCATGTTATAATGGTATTAATATAAATAATTTCTGCCATTGATAAAATGAATAGTGAAACTGTCCCAAGATTTGTTCTCAAGCTCTGGTGTATTCTTGCAGCAAAGACTGTAGAAATGCACTCTTCCACTGACTTGGAATAAATTAAAGATAATAGCATTTCACAGAGAAATTTAAGCAGGATTGCTTTTGATAGCACAGGCTGATGGGATAGAAGAGAACAAAAGCAATCATGGGTCAGATAGTTTACCGTGTTTCCCTGAAAATAAAACCCTGTCGTCTTTTTTTTTTTTTGGAACCCCTTATTGGCCTTATTTTCAGGGAGGTCTTATTATTTTAGGGCGCGTGGAGGAAACCAGAGGAAATGGCAGGGACCGGCTGTGCATGCGTTTAAATATTTTTGGGGAGGGCTTATTTTAGGGCATGCACTCAAAAGCCCGATTGGGTTTATTATCAGGGGATGTCTTATTTTCGGGGAAACAGGGTATTTGTAAGTTATAATTACATCACAAACCAGCAGTTCCTACTACCTTCCTTATACTTATGTGGCCTGCACATTGCAGACTTTTGATTCAGTTGTAACAATTGATTTACTTTAATTGCCCTTTAATTTCACTTTTGGCTTGCCATTGTATTATGCCAATGGATATTGCTGCTCCAGTCTTTCTGATTTTAAACTTTTTCAGTGGGGGGAGGGGCAAATTTAATTTGCTTTAAAAGCATTGAGATAGAATAGCAACCTGTAAATATTTTGTCTTCAAATATGCATCAAGATAGGCATACAGAAACTGGAAACCTAAGAACTAATGAATTCATGTATGAATCTAGTATGATGCATTATTGATGTCCTGGAATTTGTATACATCCTTTACTATAGGTATTTACCACAAATCCACAATGTGGCTATATGGTAAGATTTTATTATTAATCTCTTTATTAAATTCTGTTCCTATTAAGCACCAAAAAGACGTAGACCAGCTCGTTCAATATTTGATGGCTTTCGGGATTTCCAGACAGAAACTAGTAGGTATCTGTGGATAATTATATTCATAACTTTTTTTTCTTTTATGGTTTATGTCCAAGGGTAACAGTATAGGCTCCTTAGAAAGTGTAGTAATGGTGCTACTGTAGAGTTCAAACAATTTCATTCTGCATTATAAGAAATTTGCAATACTAGCAAGGAAAATTTTTTAAAAATTTAAAGTCATTGCTTTATTCACACAGTAAATGCTTTATATTTCCATACGTACAAGACATTGTTTTCCAAGCAAGTTATAACTAAGAATAATCTCTTCGTCAGTTTAAGAAAATGTAGGTACAGTCAGAAAAATCCCAGTTACGTACCATTTCATTTCAGGAATTAAAAGCTAGAATGGCAAGTAAAAAAAAATAGCATTGGCAAGCCAATTTGATATTATGGTCAGAAAACTGGGTGAAATCACCAGATATTGAGCCATTTCTCCTTACTTTAGTTTTTATTATGACTAGGATTTGAGAACCAGTTTAATTGCAGTAACTAACATATTCATGGGATTCCACATTGGGAGAATCATTTCTCAGATTGAGAAATTGATATTGATGCATACCACCTTCATTACAAAAACAACATGCTTCCAGCAACCTTTCCATCCACTTTCATTGCAACAGCACAAATATATCAGCATTGGGTTTACTGCTATATATTTTTGAAAATCAACAATTCACCTGCATTCCAATAAATATTGCTAACCAAACTTGAAAGACTAATTACCTGGTTTAGCTATTACCAGAAGAAATCTGATACACATTCCTTGCCAGTAATAATCCTGACCAGGTGCTGCGTATCCCACATGAAGCCAAGAATAATATGAATGCCTTTTGCTTCGTTAATCTGAAGCACTTTCACAAACTAATAAGCCAAACTTCAATTTGATTTTTATATTAGATTGTCAGTTGGGGCCTTGTATTAAATATCAACGAGCAAGAATAAACAGAGAATTTAATTCAGTAATGACCAGAAACTTTAATCCAGTTCTTTCAAAGGTTTTACTACATTGATATGAACTCAAAAGAGTCATTAAATTGATATGAGCACATTTATATGTAATTATGAATAATTTTGGAATAAACTTGGTTAATTTTATTTAAATTAAAAGATAATTTTACAATTTCTGTTATATACAAAAATATATTAATTTTCTAATGTTGAGTGGCACATTTACCCCCCTTTTCATTAATAGAAAAAATGTGTACCTTGGATTCAGTGTAAAGGAAGAATCAAATCATCAATTATTCCATGCATATAAAATAAGTTGTCTGTGAAAAATGGTTTTGTTCACTAAATGCAGATTTTTTTTACAGTCAATCATATGCATAGAAACTTCATTTTAATGTATTTGAAAAAATTTCTGATTTTTCTCTATATAATGTTCAGTATTACCAGCATTCAACATCTGTAATAGTATTTTGGATTTTTTGCTATTACTATTAAAACAATTGAGAATGTAATTAAGTGATGGAAGGAATAGTAACAATATTGGATAATTACAGCAAGTTCACAAATAATAATCATTACAGTAGGAAACGTGCAGTCATAGTTATGGTATGGTATTATATAACCTGGAATTGATTGAATGCTAGAGCAACAGTAGACCTAATGAGAAAGGATATATGAAATATAAGGGAATTATGGATGTACAAAAGATCCATCCATCCACACTAATTGAGAAATGGCTAGTTACCCAGTGTTTCAACATAGCAATGAGGAAGCTGCTCTCATAACTTGAGGTAGATCAACTACATGTTACAACCCAGACTTAAGAAGAACTGGAAGAACAAATGGATGTGCAGCCAACACCTGAAGTTGGATCATCACTGCCACTCCCTCCATTATAGAGCACAACAGCTAATATGAGGCATAAGATCATGATAAAGTAACTATAATCAACCCTTGAGACTGGTTACCAAGGCTCAATGGAGAAGTACCATTAGTATGCTAGAAGACTCCCTCACAACAATTTCTGTTATCACCATAACTAAAATCAATAAACTAGTATTTACTACTATTTACTACAATTTACTACTGTAATCGTTGAGATACTTAGCTACACAATTAAGGAGAATCATGCCTGCACCTCTGGAAAATGAGATTAGAGGCTATATTCAAAGCAATTTGGTGAGAGATTAGTCAGTTGATGGAAATACAAAAAGGTGTGAACATTTAGGATAAGATTCAACCTGTAAAGCACCTCTGTTCATCAAATGATTGTGACCTTTAGAACAGGTCATAGCATTCCACATGATTGAGATTGATTATGTATTTTGTTGCTTTCTGGCATTTTTTGCCAATTTCATGCTAATGACCACTGCAAAAAAGGTCACGACTAATGATTAGATTTCCAGTTCCAATTGCAGTCATAGACTGATGAGATGGAACTCTCGGTGAATCACATAGCAGATAGAGACTAGTTACAAGTACCTTAGTATCCTGCGGTCACTTGGGAACCACAATGAGGAAGCAAGGAAGATAGCAGCATCCAAATACCACCAAAGGAATAGACAGATCTTAAAGAGCCAGCTTACTGGAAAGACTAAGATCCATGCCATCAACGTGCATGCCCTGCCAATATAGTAAATTGGCCAAAGGAAGATATGGAGATTGCTGATGTGAATACCTAGAAGCTCTTCTCAATGTATGGAGGCTTCCACTCCCAAGTCCAATACCCAAGGAATGTACACTATTTGGAAAAAGAACAGGTGGGGTCCGGTGAATGACAAAACCACTGTCCTGGATGAAACTCAGGGCATCCAGTAGAACATCACTAAGATGGCACCCAAAGATCAGCTGCTGAGAAAATGAGGCAGCAACAGCAAACATGGAAGGAAGATCAAGGAGAGGAAGTGCCATAGTAAGATAAGAGCCTGCATAGGATATACTATAGACTAGGGCTGTCAAACTCACATCGTCACGGCGGGTGTCACGTGACGTATCAGGACTTTTTTCCCTTTCACTAAAGGCATGGCAGCACATGACGCATCTGGCCTGTGGGAAGCGAGTTTGACAGACCTGCTATAGACAAATACCTGAGGTGACAGACATTGGGTAATTCTACCAATGGCTAGAAAGGGCTGTATTGAAGACGACAATGAGGCATTGATCATAGCTGCACAAGAACAAGAATAGGCACTAAGTACCAGTTCCATAGAAGCAGTGGTATACCAAATCTTGAGATGCAGGTTATGTAGAAAGCTTCAGACACAATCATAACATATAGTGGCAGGATATCAGATACAAGCAGAAACACTATATACTGTATAGCACAACCAAGTAGCTGGCATTGTATATAGGAACATCTGCACAGTGAATGGGCTAAACCCATGATTGCGAACCTATGGCACGGGTGCCCAAAGTGGCAAACGGAGCCATGTCACCTGGCATGCGCGGCATCACCCATTTCTCTTCCAGGTTTCTACCGCACATGTGCTGATCAGCTGGCCTTCGTGCATGCGGCAATGCTGGAAACTGGAAGAGCTGCTCTGTGAGCCAGGAATGGGGCTTCCTCGAACTTCAGAATTGGGAGTGTCCAGAAAGGAGGACCCCTGGGAATTCTCCCTTCTGCAGCGTCATCGGCTCTGGGCAGAGTCTCCCTTGACTTCATCCACTGGAGGAGAGAGTTCCGCGCAGAGAAGAAGCCCAAAGTGGTTATTCAGGCCCTCCCACTTCCTCCGCTTTTCTCTCCCCGCAGAACTGTCTCTCCTCCTTCAGGTGAAGTCCCAAAGGACTCTTCTCAAAGACAGATGATGTTCAAGCAGGAAGAATTCTCATTGTTGATGCCCCTCATTCTGGCGTCTCCCATCTCAAAAGTCTGAGATAAACACTTCCTCCCCCCAATGCAGAACTGCTGATTTCTCCACTGGGGCTGGAAGCATCTGGCCAGACACACATGCGTGTGAGCATGCAGCCCGCCAGCTGACTGGCGTGTGTGCATGCGTGGCAGTAACCAGAAGACTTGCTGGCCGGCGTGCATGCGCGCATCAGAAACTGGAAGTACTTTATCTGGCTTGCACATGTTCCCTGGACAGCTCCTCTTCCTTGTCACGGCCCTTACGAGCATGCACAAAGTGCTCCCTTTTTAGCACTCGGTGCCAGAAATGTTCGCCATCATTGGGCTAAACCATCCCAAGTCCATTCTGGATCTTATAAATAGATTAAAGGGGCATATGAAGTATTGTAAAAATTGGATGAAAGGAGTAAAAACTGTATACTATAGAGATTTTCTGTTATATCTCAGTTTTTAGAAATCAAGATTTTAATTACTATATATTTTTAAAAAGCTGGTTGATTATTAACACATTGCTTTGATATTAAATGAAGAGAACAAAACAGTCTTTGCCAGGAAGCAAAAAACTATAATTCTGTAATATTTACCGGTAAATATTTTGTGAATTTAAATCACAAATTTAGGATATCTATTACTGAAGGTGATGGTGGTGATGGTTTTGTATAGGTAGGTAGGTAGGTAGGTAGATAACCAGCCAAAGATGATGAACATACCTAATATTCTGGTCTTCTGTTTTCCACACAACAATTCTGTGAGGTAGGTTGGACTGAGAGAGAGTGACTGGCCTAGAGCCAGATTGTCATGCTGTCAGCTTTGATGCCAAAAATGTATAAACATGTAATGGCTGTTACTAAAAGATATTTTGTAGAAAGCTGATTTAGGCTAATCATGTTAGTAGAATCACATTGCACTTGATGAAAGTAACTGAATCTGCTCTTGTGAATATTTTGTCTTCTTTGTTTTTCTTTTGGGGCTGTACAGTTCGGCAGGAGCAAGAATTGAGAAATGGAGGAGCCATAGATAAGAAGCTCACTACCCTTGCAGATCTCTTCAGGCCGCCAATTGATTTGATGCATAAAGGAAGCTTTGAAACAGTAGGTCACATTGAATTTTGGATTTGTTTTGGTATAGATGTGCATGTGCATGTGTAAACAACCGTGTCATGATAATGTGTATAAATAATTCCAGCAATCTGCCTTTTTATTAGTGCAGCATACGAAGTTACTTCTAATTAATAACATCATTTGAGGAAATAGCTTTTGATTATATCTATTAGTCCATTACTGTGTTCCCTCATTAAGAAGTATTCAAGTAGAAGTTAGTGATTAAGAAATAGATTTGAATAATATGCATTAAATGATGATTTTCTAATGACAAGCTATTTACCAGTGATGGCGAACCTATGGAACGTGTGCCACAGGTGGCATACAGCATCCTCTCTGTGGGCACGCGAGCCATCACCCCAGTTCAGTTCCATGTGTGCCCGCGCCTCCCACCCATCAGCTGGTCATCGGGTCTTTGCCACGCATGCGCGAGAGGCAGGACGTGTGCGAGGGGCGCAAGCACAGATGGGGGCGGGGCACATGCGGGGGGCATGCACGCAGGGGCGGGGTCGTGCAGGGGCCCACATGCGCAGGTGCTGCACGTGCATTGCATTTGGGGGGTTTGGGCGAGCACGCTTTGGGCACTCGGTCCGAAAAAGGTTCGCCATCACTGCTATATACATAAACTAAAGATTGGTCTTTTTCTACCTCTGAGTTTAAAAATCTGTAATCAATCATTTCCTTTACATTTCCTATAATTCTTGTAGAAAGAATTATAATTCAATATTATATTATTGTATTTACTATATTGTTGTATATTATACTAATATAATTCAAATTATAATTCAAAAATATACCACATTGTCTCCTTTACATTAAAAATTAATATCTCTAGTATGACATGATTGAGAAAGATTTTTACTGGAGAAAAGTATGACCAAACTAAACATTAGTGGACAAGAATAGCCAATGATCTGTATAATAATCAGTATAAAACAGAATCTTGAATTTTTTATTGTTTACTGTTTGGTTAGTAAACTTGGAACTACAGATTTGGACTTTCCAGATTGAAGATCAGTAGTTTGCTAAATTACTAATCTTTAAACCTTTCCTGATGAAATACCTGATTTCCTAACCCACCCCCTTGCAACAGTTTTCTTGTTGCATCAAGGGGGAAATGGAAATAAGTTTATTCAAAAGTAATACATTTTGTGCAGCATTTATATGTGAAAATAATATCACCTTCTTTTTATATCTTTTATTTGCATTTGAAGTCACTTTCAGAGTTATTTTTCCTATCAAGACTTGACTGATTGCCTTAGACGCAGTGTACTATTTGCCTGTAAGCATATACTAAATCCAGAGTAGAGTTGTTTTTTTCTCAATCTTTTTCAATGAAGTATGAGAAAAGTCTAAATCTCTTTCACTACCTCTATGTTACTTCTTTCTTTTCTTAATAAATATATATCCATATATATTAGAGGCTCACATTCCTCAATTTATTATAACTAACTCTACTGTGCTTTGTTTAATTTAAATGTCTCTATTCTGCATTATCTCTAGTATTAATATTTTATCACCTTCTTAGTTTTTAGTACCTTAAGGCAAAATCTGGTGGTTTTTGTTTGGTTTATATCATAACATCGAGTTTTAGTTTAAGCACTATATTTTCAATCCATTTACTTTATACTTTGAATTTTCATAAAATGGAATTGACCATATATTTAAGAAGCTTCATTTATTTAATAATATGCAGTCTTTAACAATTTTGTACTATAGTTTATCATTAATCAAGTTAGATATAGGAACTAACCAAATAGACCTTTTTCTCCCCATACACACATACATGCCTCGTCATCACTCTGTTCCCTTCCATATTAAGGAACATTGTGGAAAGTGCAGAAAAAAAGTAGAAAGTAGCAAACAAAATAACAGAAGTTAAGTGAAAAGGGAAGGAATCATATATCTCCTTCTAATATTTATTGTTGCCAGCTATCCTAGCTTCCACATCTGTACAGAGATTAATACATTCCCTTTTCAGTCTTTCCTCTCAAATATTTGCTCTTTCTTCATTATTGAAAAATAATGTTACTGCATACTAGAAGTTGTATTTTTACAGACATTCACTTCTCTAACAAAGCTTCTCACACAGGTAAACCATTATGATGAGTTTGTTGTATGTTAGAGTGCATGAACAGTTTTGAGAAGCCATAAATTGTGTCTTAAGACTATAAAGGTTTTGTGCTTTATAGTCTGATTTAAATATATATCAGCAGTCACTACACTAGTGTTCCATATTAAGCTTTCAAGAATTTTTTTCTGGGGGTGGGGGTGGTTCAGATTTTAAGTTTGATCAATATACTGTGTTTCCCCGAAAATAAGACATGTCCGGATAATAAGCCCAATTGGGCTTTTCAGTGCATGCGATAATATAAGCCACCCCTGCAAAATAAGCTCCCCCACACTACTTACATGCATGCGCAGCTGGTCCTGCCATTTCCTCTGGTTGCTTGCTACGCAACCAAAATGAGTTTAGGAGATGAGGCCAGAGGGAGGGGAAAGGCAAGGACGTGCCCTCCTCTCCCTGCCGAGCAGCCCAACATTTCCCACCCCACCCCAATGACAGCCGAGCAGCCCAACATGTCTCACCCCACCCCAATGGCAACAGCAACCTGGCTGCTTCCCTACCCCACCATTTCTTTATCGAGAGAGGTGGGGGGGTGGGGGAGAAGCAAGATGCGTGGACCGAGACATGACTCCCCTTGCCATCTCTTCTCCCATCCTCGCCGGGCATGACAGGGCTCCTACCCCTTGCTTAGCCACCTGCCTGCCCCTTGCTTAGCCAATCAAACTTCTCAAAATCGCGAGAAGGTCTTCTTTTACAGCGTGTTTCCCTGGACACAATGTTGAGGAAAGCGACAGAGCTTGAAAGGTAAGACCTGCGTCCCGCTTCTCGCCCGTCCCACCTGGCACCCCCAAATTGCATCCCTAAAGGGGGCAGGTGGCTAAGCAAGGGGCAGGAGCCCTGTCATGCCCGGCGAGGGTGGGAGAAGAGACGGCAAGGGGAGCCAAGAGACGGTGGGAAGGAAAGCAGCTGTTGCCATTGGGGTGGGGTGGGATGTGTTGGGCTGCTCGGCTGGTGTGAAGAACAGGGAGGAGAGGCCACCGCCTCCTGCACCCCTGAAATAATAAGACCCCCCGATAATAAGGCCAAGCCCTTATTTGGGGGGGTGGCCAAAAGAAAATAAGACCCTGTCTTATTTTCGGGGAAAGATGGTATATCTGTTCATTATTGTTATTCTGTATGCAATTAAAAGTTCAACTCATGTGGAAATGTAACTGTATAAGAGTTTTATTAAAATTACATCCATGGCACATAATTTAGTTTCTTTTAACCAGTGTGAAAAAATAGAATCTTCATTTACCTTCTGAGTTAAATATTTTAATTAAGCTATAAACAGATTTAACACAACTGTCAGGTTTGTGTTAAATTCTTCAATTGCTTTAGCATATTGATATTTGTTTATTATCGCTACTTATTTATTAAGCCTTCTGTTTCTTCTAAAAATATTTAACTTATTTGACAAATTTATACATAGTTTTATGAATGTAATAACGCCATATAAGTGAAACTATATAAATAATATTGCACTGCAGAAACAAGCTAGATATAAAAGGCATTTGTTTATTTAGTTTCCTTTTCTGGAGCAGAAAATAGGACTATGCAACTGTTGCACAATCCCAGTAAGAGGTGCAGTTGCTTTTAAGAGTTGGAGCCAGTACTATATTTGTTCCACTGCACATTCTGAAGCGTCTTCTCTGCATTATTTCCATTGCATGGGAGAAACCAATAAAATGTACATTCAATTCTCTGAATGCTACAGCTATTTCTGATAAACATAAAACATATTTTAATTCCATTTTTATGTCATGCTCATAACTTACTTCACTATAAATTTTATAAGCAAGTACCAAAGATGCTTTTTCAAAAGGCAATTGGACTTTCTTTATTTTTCCTTGAAGACATTTCGTTTCTCATCCAAGAAGCTTCTTCAATTTATAAGCAAGATTTGTTTATCTTGAATTCATATGTCAAATTCAAATACATTAAAAAAAGAATCAGCCATATTAAGCATGTTGAGAAAAAGTCAGCATAGGGAATCACTGTATTTACTAAATCAACTAAGTTTTATAATTTTAAGACAAGTCATAAAAGTACAGATTATTTTAGTTGATATATGCATTTTTTGAGATTTTCTAGATTTTGTTATGGTTATATTATAGTAATGCATTTACCATACATTTCATTTGTTTAACTAATGGAGAAGATCAAACCTTTTACTATTATGGTGTTGGTTTACTCCAGTACTTGGTCAGTTGATTAACATCCTGGATCAATATGTTATATTGTAATCCTGATACAATTATCTGTTCAGAGGCAATTGTCTTAAAATATTTCTTCAGATGTTCAAGTGGTTTTTGGCATGTTGGCATTTTAATTGTCGTAGCAGTTATTAGTGCCTGAAAAAAAAATCTCTTAATCTCCAATACAGAATAAAATTACGAGAAGAAATATTTCCATTTTAATTCAAGAAAAGAGTTTTTTAACATAACTTTAACTGTAGAATGGTCATTTTTCCATCACCAAAAAATAAGATAAATTAGAATACTAATTTACATATCAACAGAAATTTAAATAATTACTAAAATTACAATAAAAACACAGTAACTGTCACAGTAATACTTGTTTCTATTTAATTTATGGTATATCTTGCTATTTATAAATTATATTTAAATGTTTAATTAGTTGTCAACATAAAAAAAAATATATTAATTTAATTAATAAACAAAAAATTGTTAAACTAATAAATACTTGGTTTTTAATATTTTAACCTAAAAGATCAAGTATAAAACTGAAAACCCTACTTTCAAAATTCCAGGCTTATTTTTGTGCACATTTTTCCATGAGTGAAAGAAAGGATCTCATTGGTGTTTGGGTCTTGCAAAGATATTACAGAATATAATTACAAAATGAAATTTGAACTGGGAGTGTACATACAATTTATAATATTTACTTGTAAATTTTTCAAAAGCAATTATAAGATTATTATAAGATTATATAAATTTTGTCTTTCAATCAAAATGGCTATTCAAATTATCTTTTCCTCCAATAATAAATCAACCTATTTATATTTATTTGGCACCGAAATGTCTCCACTATAATATTGTTTTAGTGGTTGACCTGAGAAAGATGTTTTGCTATAAAATCCTAGTGAAAACTATGTTCTATATTGCTTTATTCCAATATAGGTGAGTGCTTCTGTGTCCATTGTGTTGCTTATTCAATGGCCAATGGATCAGACATTTCACTTTTTAAAAGTGAAATCTCATTTTCCAAGATGCAAAGTCAAAAAGGGGTACTCATGAATCTGTGTTTCTTTTCATAAATAAATAAACTCATGAGTAAATTTCCTTTAAGGAAATCCCACATATTTTTGTCCTGGTTATTTAGGAAATATGACCATTCCAATTTTTGATATAGCACTCTTTTTTTCAACAGGTATGACAATTCAGCGATCAGAATTACATTCTTGATCAAACTCCTACATTAACTTGCAACCAACCAATCAGGCAATGCCAGCTTTGAGACTCAAACCAGTAAGATCTCTTCCTGCAACTTCAAACCCTGCCACCTCCCCCACTTGCAATCTGGTCAACAAAAAGTTCACCAATAATACTACAATATAACATATATGAATGAATGGTAAATTAGAGGAAATGAATAGTCGAACAACAAACTGCAAATCTATCAAGATCTTAATCCTAATCTGCCAAATTTTGACTGTTGAATCAGATAATCTGCTTTGTAATCGGATCAATGCAGCTCATTCCATATTTTCTTCTAAATGTTTTGTTCGTTTATTTCCCTTTTTTCAGTCAGTTTTGAAATTAGTTATTTTCCTAACTCTCTCTCTCTTTGGCATGTTAACACTCACCAGTCTGAGATTACCAATGTGTAATCTTGATACGACAAGTTGACCTGCAGAGACTTCTAACCCTGCACGCTGCTTGTCATGCTTGTTTGTGTATTAAATTGTTGAGTGCTGATAGAACTTAACAAATGAAAAGGGTTTTATAAAAGCCTAGAACAATAAATAGAAGCCATCATTGCTGGCATTGTTCCTTGAAAACTTTTCTTTTTTGGCTAATGCTCTTACTGTTCTTTTTGTCTTCAGGCCAAAGAGTGTGGTCAAATGCAGAACAAGTGGCTCATGATTAATATTCAGAATGTGCAGGATTTTGCCTGTCAGTGTCTCAATCGTGATGTTTGGAGCAATGATGCTGTAAAAAATATTATCCGGGAACACTTCATTTTTTGGCAGGTATGAAGGCATTTTCAGTTTAGCTAAAAAATTAGAAACAGCCAATATTTATTTACTCTGGCCATATTCATATCACATTTTGTAGAACTATATTAACTAGTTACATTGTGCTTCAGTATCAAATTTTATTAACAAATGGTAAATTGCTTTAATATTCAAATGTTTTTGAGCATTTGAAACTAACCTTCTTGACTATTGTACAGGTATACCATGATAGTGAGGAAGGACAAAGATATATACAATTCTATAAATTGGGAGATTTCCCTTATGTTTCTATCCTGGACCCCAGGACAGGTAAGAAGAGGAAAAAATGCTGAAGGCATATTAACTCTGAATTGTATTCTTATATAACACAATAAATAATCTCATTGGTTTAACAAGGGAAGGACTATAGTTTCCATATTTGCCAGCAAGATTGCTGGAACTGGCTAATTAGTCATACTTCCAGTCTATATCAGATCAACTTGATCAAATATAATAGATTTAATGTTTACATTTAATTTTAAATTAAATGTTCACATTTGCTTTGCCTATGTTGTTTTAAATCCATTTTAATGTAGTTGGCAATTGTGATTTTTAGGATTAAAAACTTCAAGTTAGCCATTCATTTCTTCTGACTTGTTCACAATGCTTCTTGCCTCTACAGAATCATTAAAAATTTAAAATAACATCTGTGTTGATACTGATGATCTAAGATTTCAATTACTGAAGTACAATTTATTGTTATTTTTAACAGGGCAGAAACTAGTGGAATGGCATCAATTAGATGTAACTTCTTTTTTGGACCAAGTGACTGGGTTCCTAGGTGAACATGGACAACTGGATGGACATTCCACCAGCCCTCCCCAGAAACGTACTCGCTCAGTAAGTATAATGACAAAAATGGTATATTTTTTATTCTTAATAAGAAATAAAAGTATCTGGAGCCTTTCTCTTCCCCTCTCACCTTCTCAAAATATGTGTTTTAAAGTAACTTATCTTTTTCTTTTGTGTTATGGTTGATTAGGAGAGCTTAATTGATGCGAGTGAAGATAGCCAGTTGGAAGCTGCAATCAGGGCATCATTACAGGAAACACATTTTGACTCTGAACAAATAAAGCAGGAAAGCAGATCAGATGAAGAGTCTGAATCGGAGCTTTTCTCTGGAAGTGAGGAATTTATTTCTGTTTGTGGTTCTGATGATGATGAGCCAGAAAGTTCTGCCAAATCTAGAAAATCTCCGCACAAGGATTTGGGTTGTAGAAAAGAGGAAGGCAGAAAACCTCAACCTGAACCAACATCAAGAACTGAACCTGAGATGATAATAAATCACAGAGGACTATCTTCTGTAGATTCAGGAGTGCTAGAAGAAACTGGAACTAAACTAGATGACTTACAGAAAGAACCGAGCATCAATGGTAAGTATGGTTCCTGTCATTTAGTCAACTTCAGAGCGTTACAAAAGACTCATCAAGAAATCATCACCAAAGAGTATTTCTTTCTTTCTGCTGCATTTAATTGAATGAACCAAAGTAGTAAAAAAGTATAAATCTGGCTAAACAGTTCATAATCTACATGAGGGATTAAAATTTTGTTCTTTTGTGGAAATTGGTAAACTATAACTTCCAGCATCTTCTGAAATGCAACTAGCTGGATCTGCTGGGAATTGGCAATACGTATTGTTCATACTTCATATTGAGAGATAGGATGATAGTTTCTTAAAGGAATAAAGAATGGTTGTGTCTCATTAAAAAACAAAAAGAAGAATCAGAATAATTGAGCATCAAAACTAATATATGCTGGTTGTAGCTATTGACATGCCAAGTGTCCAGTCTGTGAATTAATATAAAGGATATGACAGCAAATCCCAAGGATTATAAGGTCCACTGACAGTGATCTCTTCTTGCTAATATATGTGATGACAAATCCTATTATAAGAATTGCTACATTCATATAAACTTGACTAAAAATATTGTGCACATCACAAAAACAAGTAACATACATTTGGTTAAAATATGGTGAACGTGATTATAGAGCCATGGTGGATGCAGTGGTTAGAATGCAGTATGGCAGACTAATTCTGTTGACTGCTGATTGCCAGCAGTTTGGCAGTTCAAATCCCACCAGGCTCAAAGTGGACTCAGCCTTCTATCCTTCCAAGCTCGGTAAAATGAGGATCCAGATTGATGGGGGTAATATGCTTAGAGAGGGCTGTAAAGTGCTATTGCTATTGTTACAGTGGGGCTTAAATTGAATTTTATGGAGAGTAGGTATCTGTGGTGCCTTTTAACCAATAGATACAAATTAGAACAACGGCTCAAAAAGATTATGGCCTTCATTGTCTACATACTCTCAGTATGAAAAAGAACAATCCGTTATTGAGTTTTTAGTGAGCTCTGTTTTAAACGATATATTTAAACAACTGCTTTAATAGGTATACTAAACTGGAATACAATAATTGAAGGGTAAAAAAATCCATTTCCACTTAAAACAGGAAGCAGAAAAGCAGAAAAACAAATAAAAATTATACATACTCTTGTTGGTCTTTGCTACTGCCTGTGCAATCAAGGGGAAAACATGCACGACGCCTTTCAAAACCAAAACAAGCATGACTTTGTAGTGAAGGGAGAGTTTAATTGCATTTGTTTAGTGACAAATGGAACTTCATGTGTGCCCGAGTGCCCACCACTCGTGCAAATGGAGCTGCATGCGCAAGCGTGTGCGCCTGTCACTTGCGCAGCCCGGTTCTGAATGGGCTGCAGTCTAGTACCAGGCCATGACCCAGGGGTTGGGAACCCTTGTTTTAATAAGCCAAAAAGTATTTTCCAGTTGATTATTTAGATTTTTTTTCATTATACAATAATCTTTCCAGATTTGAGGACTGATCACTAATCACCGCTCTAAATCTGACATTTTGGAAATAATTTTTTAGCTTTAAACCTTTAGTTTTAAACCTACTAAATCTTATATGGTGGTTGTTTCATTATCAAAGTAATAAATGCAAAAACTAAATGCAGTTGTATTTGGCATTTAACTTTTTTTACCAGGACCAAAAGCACAACTAATGCTAAGATATCCAGATGGGAAGAGGGAACAGATTTCATTACCTGAACAAGCTAAGCTTCTGGTATGTAGACATAATGAAAACTTCAAGATAGATATAATTCTTGTTTTAGTACTTACCATTTCTCACCTTTGTGTATAAGTATTAAATATGTATGCTTCAGTTTATTAAACTCTAATTTTGTTGAATCTAACAATATATGGGAACTATGATTGAATTTCAAGATTTGCTATATTTGGATGTTACCTTGTATTCTTGTTTATCTTAATATAAAGTGAAAATAAAATTCAAATTTTAAAAAATGCAAAAAAATAAGACTATAAACAGTGCCCTGTAACAGATTAACAGAGTTGGAAGGGACCTTGCAAGTCATCGAGTCCAACTCCCTGCCCAAGCAGGAGACCCTACATCTGCCTCTACCTAGGATCGAACTCACAACTTCCTGATTGTGAAGCAAGAGCTCCACCTCTAGGCCATTGGGTCTTCGTAAAATTCTGGCCCATCTAATCTAGCAGTCTGTTCTCACAGTGGAAAACCAACTTGCACAATGAAGTGCAGCAATTGGAGGAGTTACACTCTCCTTAAGGCTAGTAGCCATTGATCCTCAAGAGTTCCATGAATTGATCCAACCCTTTATGAAGTCAACCAAGCTGATAGCCAGTATCACATCTTGCAAAAATATAACTACCTTCATGCGTTGACTATTTTGCATTTCTATTCAGCAGCTAAATAGGTGATTTTTACTTTTTTAAAAACAACAATGAAAACAGTATATTAAGCTTCCCATTTTGGGTTGTAAGTGTCCCACAGAATCCCTATGTTAACCCAAAACTTCATCCATGTCCTTTCACTTGCATTTCTTCTGCCACTTGTCTCCCCTAGCCGCCACCACCACTAACCCACCTCAAAATTAGAAAGTAAAACTGCAGACCTTCCTGCAGAAAGATTGCTCAATCCCATTCCTGGATAGGAAGTATTATAGGAATCTATGAAGGAAAGATGAGGAATATAAAGTAAAGGTTCCCCTCGTACATATGTGCTAGTCGTTCCCAACTCTAGGGGGCAGTGCTCATCGTTTCTAAGCTGAAGAGCCAGCACTGTCTGATGACGATTCTGTGGTCATGTGGCCGGCATGACTAAACACCGAGGCGCATGGAGCGCTGTTACCTTCCCACCATTGAACTGCTAGGTTGGCAGAAGCTGGGGCAAGTAACGGGAGCTCACTCTGTTACGTGGTGATAGGGATTCGAACAGCCGAACTGCCGACCTTTCTGATTGACAAGCTCAGCATCTTAGCTACTGAGCCACCGTGTCCCCATATGGAATATATGTGTTCATAAAAACATGCTTGTCTTGTATGAACCTCTGTGGGTAGTTGATGAAACTTCTTTATATTTGTTGCTTTTGTAATCAGCCAAGGGATAGAAAGAAAAAAAAAAGTGTAATTTGTTTGTATCTCTCAGACTGCACTTTCTCCAGTGCCTTTTGCATGGTGTACATAGATCCCAAAAGATTGCCTATCTGTAGTATTGGTCATGAACATAAAGGGGAAGAATAAATTCTGTATATTTGCTAAAAATATTTACAGAATAGAACTGCAGGGATTCAATTACTGATGTGCTGATTTACCAAAGTCTTTTGAAAATCAGCCTAAATATTTCATTTGCTATTTCAAACAAAGAATCAACAACAATTGTATACAAACAACATTATATACAATAGTTTTTCTATTACTTAATTGAAGGCCCTGCAAGTCTTTCCCAATTTCTTTAACTTCATATGCCTGTAGTATATAAATAGTTTGTGCTGATATATCCTCCAGTAACAAATACTGTATTGTTTTAATACCCCATTATGTGTTGTGTTCTGTGATCAAAATAGTTCTCTCCCCTTTCTCTGCAGGCTCTTATCAGACACGTACAGTCAAAAGGATACCCCAATGAACGTTTTGAACTCCTCACCAACTTTCCCCGGAGGAAACTTTCCCATTTGGACTACAACATCACATTACAGGAAGCTGGTCTTTGTCCACAAGAAACTGTATTTGTTCAGGAAAGGAATTAATTTTCCCCTTTGTCATCTCCACCTACAGTACTAACTCAGTACATATACAGAATTGAAAGCAGGCAGCCATTTCTCTCCCATTCTTTATGCTATTCTTAACAAGTGAACGAAGTGAAATTGGCAGAAAAAGTTCATTGATGCTGGAAGAAGGCTTATGTGTTCAGTAGTTTGTTGCTGTTTCAAAATAAAGTTGCCTATACATCCAGCATGTTGCAGAAGAGAACACCGAGAGCAAGAATAATTTTCTTCCCCTAAGAAAAGAAACCTTTTCTTTAATACATTCATTTTTCAAAGGTCATATAACCAGGTATTAAGGAATTCTTCAGACAACCATGTCAATATGTGTCATCTATTTACATGGAAGAGTTTTTGTGTTTCCAATTGACATGTGCATTGTTTGGTTTTCAGCATGTGTTCTTTTTCCTTGGGTTCCACATGTTTTGAAATCAGAATGCTTCCTACCATATACTGCTGCTGGTTGCATGTAATAAATTGTCACACATTTATGGTGCACAGGCTTTAATGACTACGTGAAGAGATTCTGTGTTTTGGCTACAAGTCAAGAAAAAAACAAATGATGTGCTAGATTCATTGCCCAATTTCATAAATCAGTGATCTTGCAAAAGGGGCTGTAGAATATGGAACATGAAAGAGTCTATTTTAAATTGATTTGTATGTATTGCTTTTGTTAGAGAGGAATGTGGTAATAAAGAAAAATGATAGATGTACTTAGTAGTATAAAATTGCTTTGTGTAACCCAGAACTGCAGGCTTCTTCCTTTTCACAATTAAAATTATAGAAAGGGAATTGATTTATCTCTTTTTTTCTTCAAAATGTTAGCAGAAATGAAACATTCATAGAGGTTGAATGTAATGTTCTTAATGTTGTTTTCGTTCACTATTCTGCCATTTGGATGTTTCTCCCATTGACATTTAGTGAACGTGTGCAGATTCTGGGCCCCAAGCAAGCATCTTTTTTTCAGAAATTTTGAAATATTTTTGAGTAACAATTGAATTTAATTAAGTTAATAACATTTAATTAAAAGTACAAACCAGTAAACATGGTTTCCCAACAATAAATACGATTTGAAAAAAATAAGAAATAGCTGCTTGCCATCATTTTTTCTAAGTGGCCAAAAAAATTATAGATGTGCTCCAGATTTTATACAATGGCAACTGAGTGTTGGATCATTTGGATCTGATAATATTTGGCGTTAAACTGTAGTAGGATGGGTTGTATTGACATTACATTTGATTAATTCATGTATGTGAACTTAAGGATTAAAGATACTTATACTGCATTGTAGAATGAAAACATTTCCCTATTTATTTTTTTTCCTGTACAGATACTAGTAACAGATATAAGACAAATGTAGCATGGATTAATAAGTGTTTTATACATAAGCCACAATTGCTTTTATGTTGAAAACCATGCAGCTATTACATTCCTAAATTAATGGAGACCCAGCAGTATGCTCAGTAACGGATCTAGCTTTAAATATGAAATGTTTTTGAAAATTGATGCCTACAAACATTTGAGGTATAGGTAAAAAGAACAGTGAAGGTTGATACTGTAGGTAGTAGTCTGTTAAAATTTATCTAAACATTTGTATCAAATACTATCTCTTGTTGCTCTACCTTTTTAAAAAATCATCTTTCATCCTTCATTTTTCCTTCAATTTTGTTGTGACCTTTCCTGCCTTACCTTTCAGAAATCTTTTAAAGTTCTTGGTCTGCTCCAAAAAGCTGCTCCTATCTGTCTATGAGCTATGTGATGTTTCTACAGTACAGTACAATCCTTGACTTTAATCAGATTAGCAATTTATAAACTATTGGAAGAATGGCAGTGGTAATATCCATAAATCATTAAACTGTATTTTTTAAATCTCTCAACTCAAATAAATTTGTTTTCCTTGTTCACTAGTTTATACCAATTTAGCCCAGCCCACCTCCCACCCCAAATCCATGTAGGTATTACTTAGCAAATTATATCAGGGCCTCATATTCAAACTTTTATTTCCCACTGCTGAGCATAAGGATGTAACAGTATTTATGCCAGTTGAGCTTTTCTGGAGAAGGATTTCTACAGTTACTATAAAAAGAGACACCTTGTGATTTACCTTCTCCTGCACCTAATCATAAACATATAGCAATAGCTTATATGTTACTTAGACTTATATACCACTTATATACCACAGTGCTTTTACAGCCCTCTCTAAGCGGTTTACAGAGTCAGCATATTGTCCCCAACAATCTGGGTCCTCATTTTACCAACCTCGGAAGGATGAAAGGCTGAGTCAACCTTGAGCTTGGTGAGATCTCCCAAACTGCTGGCAGCCAGTAATCAGCAGAAGTAGCCTGCAGTACTGCACTCTAACCACTGCGCCATCGTGGCTCTTTTGAATCACTTCGTTTTACTCTTATAGCACTCTTATAGCAGTATAAGAAGATCAGGACTTTTCTTAGAATTCTTGCACTTAATGCTGGCATTGCTTTAATGGAAAGTACTTTCGTTCATATTTGGAGCAGTTCTCAAAATTCCCTGAAATTGTACCAGCAAATTTTGGTAGCACATTGCTGATCATTATAGAGTTCAGATTTCATACCCGTTGTTGTCCATGAGGCAAACAGAATGTTTGCATAAGCTTAATACCAGGATTAATAGTAGATGTACCCTAGAAATTGCAGCCTGCCCACTTGGGTGATTTGCTTTTTTGCATTGCCTTGCCAACTGCGAGCTTTAGCCAGCCCCCACTTCCCCTGAATATGGACCCTGACTTCTGCCCAATGCAGACCCCTATAGACTCTCCTATAATACAACCCACAAGATTTCTGCCCTAGAAATTGCTGTGTATGCTAGAGATTAGGTAAGCAGCAAACCTGTTTGTGCATGTCTCATACTTCCCTTAACAAAATCTGTAAAAAGTGGAAATGGCGTTTGGAGTGGAAGTGGAAATTCAAGCACAGAAACCAGGATAACTGCAAAAAATTTCATTTACTCAACATTTAGTTACTTTTTTATAACTTTATCTTACATATCTTCCATTTATTGGGCTTTATTCTTATCCTTAAAATAGTCTGGAAGTTAAATCATGGCAACTGGGCTTTTTGGTTTGAAACTTTTCGCTGCTTATCTAAGTAGTTCTTCAGTCTGAAGAAAAATAGTTTAGCAGAATATCCTTAAAACAGTTTAGCAGAGCAGCTGAAGGCCTTATGAATGGTGGTTCTAAGATACTCTTGAGAAAGTGAGAACTCTCTCTAAGAGTTCTTGTTCCTAAGATTATTGTGCTGCTTTCCAAGCGGGAAAGCAGCACATAAATCTTAGGAACAACATTATTATAATTGGATAATTTAAAAGTTATTGTTACTAGCATTTTTACAGGTTTTTGTTTTAAAGATTACTGTTCAAGGAATATGGATACGGATTATGTAAAAGATGTTGTGAATCCATGCCTGATTCTAGATTGTCCTCTTTTGTCTCTAGACCTAAACATCATTCCATTTAAGTAAAATATTTTTTATATTGTTATTTCAAAAACAATTTTAGCAAACACAAATAGAACCCACTGGGGGTTCTAGTATTTTAGTCCTATTTCAGTTTACTATTGAAGCAGATTAGTGGTCACAGAGAACTTTGAAAGGATCTTTGGAGGACTAACACCCCTGTCCACACACATAACTAAATGATAACGCATTCCCAGCAGTTGGAGTTTAGGGTGTATCTAAACAATCTAAACAACAATTATGTTTGATATAATTGACAAGCCTTCCATCTGCAAAATCATTTGAAATAAGCTCTTCATTTTCATTGTTTCACTTTTAAATATGTGGCATTGCTGCAGGTGTAATATTAGAAGATGAATTCAAAAGGCATTCCAAAGTCTTTTAATGACAGTTTTATCTGTTTGGAGAAATTGAGATATTAATAATATTTAACTTTGGATGATGTGATTTGGATTCTGATAAAATTATGGTTCCTTCAAAACATTAACTTTTTAAAGTTGGATTGCTAGCTTTATATTGTTATAGCTTGAGCTATGTAAAACTGTTGTCTACCCTTTTACCAGTAATAGAAGCCATTTCTTTTAATTCTGATATAATTTTAAAATGAGTGGGGGAAGAGATTTCACTTGCTGTGATGAGAATGATCAAACTCAAGGCAACCTCTGATCTATATGTACAACTGCTGCATTTTTATAAATATGTGTAAATGTCCTTCCTAATGTAATATTTTGATCCTGAAAATAAATCAGACATTTTCACTAGTTTTTAGCCTGTTTGGTGTGTGTGGAATGGGGGAGGAAGGAAGGAAGGCTTTGGAATGGAGGGGGAGGTTTGTAAAATCAATAAAATCAAGATATTACACAAAATGAAATCTCTTTTACACATTAGATTAAGAAATAATTGTGATTTCAGCACAGTCATCTTAAGGTATTTCTTAATCAGATGCTAGTGAGTATATAATTAGTAAGTGCACAATGCCAAATAAATATTGTATTCACTTGGTTACGTTTAGATATAAAAACTTAAAATCTATGTAGCATAAGCATTTCACTTATGCTAATTCATAATTGCATCTGTAATTCTTGATAGGATTATATTTACAGTATCATCTGCCCTATTAACAAAATTTAGTAAAACCTTTTTTTAAGGGAGATGTAGGGCAAAGGAGCATTTTCCATGAAAAAATTACTACCTAGCCACCCAAAGTATATATTTTTTTACAAAACAGCTATTCTCAGTATTATGTTGAATGTTGTTGTAATAATGGCTCTTCTCTTGTCACAAATCTCACTAAAATTCAAACCAGGAAACACATAATGTATCTTAGACTTCTATTAATCCTCTGGCACAAAGTAAAATTACTTTGTATTACTACAGTAATTACTTTGTATTACTACAAAAGTAAAAATTGGACTCAGATTAATGGGTAATTTCTCTTCATTGTGCCATACTTGTGAGAATGGTATATAACAAATAGGCCAATCCAAAATTGAAACTGTTATGTATCACTCATTCATCATTTTGGTTTGAAAGTTAAAGGTTTTCAGATTTTCCTGTCATAAGCTTAAAATTTGCTAGTTGGGTTTAAAGAGTCACCATGATGAACACTAAAACTGTAACAAAGCACCGATTCAAAGACTAATTATAATTGTCATTCTTGTGCAATATTTACATGACTTATTATGTCAGCAGACTTGTGTGAAGAACACAACTAGTTACCACCCACTACTTTTCCAGAAACAACTCATTTATATAATTTTTTGGTGATATAAAATCTGTTGCTCATATTTTAAGGAGCTTCGAAATTCCCAGCCACTGGGAATTATTGTCGCTGAAGTCAGCACATTTGAGAGTTACATTGTGGAAGTCTGGGTTAATTCGTCCATGATCTTTCAGATGAAAGAATTTTCAAGCTCTGAATCAAAAGAATTATTTATAGACTCTGAAAGAAGATATAATACTATAGGAGGAATGCTACTCAAAATTTTGAAAAATTGATTTCTTTTGCTTCTAGGTGGAGCAGGAAAGAATAGTTTTGTGAACTCTTTGTTGAACATTAGTGAAGGTATAGGTTAGGAAAAACATAGTGGTTTGGAAGGCAATTATTACCTACTAGCTGCTGAGACCAAATGCCAACTTCCCTGAATTGGATAGGTTCCAATAAATAAACGTTCAGAATTTTGAGAACTAAAGTATGGTCATCTGAAGAGTCCCCTGGTTAAAGCATTACAATTTATAATGTAAGGAAATTTGAGCCACCATGGCAGACTTAGCCTAGTGTTTTTCGGGGCATTAAACTCATTATCACTCATATTCACTGTTTGTTGAAATACTTGACATTTTATTAACATCTTTATGTTTTGGAGACAATAATTATTCTACAAATAAAACTGAGCCAAAAACTCTACAGTAGGATATATTTCATAAATAAAACATTAAAATAACAAATATAGATTAATCAAATAATATTTGATCCACGAAATGCCAGAAAAACTTGAATTTGGAAGGCACACTTGGACTATGGTTGAACTCACAAATTGATTAGTTCATTTACTTCCAGGTTAAGATATGGAAAATTTCATTCTTTGGTCTTTTCTCAAAATAAATTTGGGGTTTCCCTGCTTGACACACTTTATATCCGCAGTACTTCTGTGTGGACTCTCCAAGCTAATCTGGATATTTTAAACTTTTCAGCGGTGCCAAGTCCTAGGTAGCTGGCAAAAAAAGGTAGCAGGAATTACACAGTTTTCTTGAAGCTACGATAATCCTGGCTAACAATAGAATATTGAAAACCTTTAATAAAATCCCAGTCTCAATTATAGTGAGTCTCTTTGAAACACTTTGTTGTGGCCCACCAGCCACCAGCAGAGCTAGCTGCAGATTCGGACAATGAGGAGGTTGTGGAGGAACTTGGGCCAGTGCTGGAGTCTGGGGAAGACTCTGATGGATGCTCTGCATCCGACGCAGAGATAGAGCTAGGGCTGTCCAACATTTCCCAGCCACCAGAGAGGCAGCTGCCTTTGGAGACTGATATGAGTGAGGAGGAAGAACAGCTGGGACCTGTTCCAGGTGTACATATGGACAGAGCAGTTAGAAGAGGTGAGCAATGGAGGACAAAGAGTCGACTCGGGAAGCAAAGCACACGTGGACGCTGAATGGCCCGTCCCTGGCTGGGGAATAAATAGAAGGAAAGGGGAGTGGCTGTTTTAGGAGACAACAATTCGTATTTCTGAAGATTTTGTTAATTGTGTTTCGTGCCACAAAGACTGCTTGCCAGAACTTAATTTGCAGCCTTTCGGCTGGGAGCTCACAGCCTTGCAATTATTGCAAGGAACTGATAAGGTCTGTACTGCGGTTAACTCCTTGAAGCAATGGTGAAATTCAATTTTTTTTACTACAGGTTCTGTGGGTGTGGCTTGGTGGGCATATTATGGCTTGGTGGGCATGGCTTGGTGGGCATGGCAAGGGAAGGATACTGCAAAATCTCCATTCCCACCCCACTCCAGGGGAAAGATACTGCAAAATCTCCATTCCCACCCCACTCGAGGGCCAGCCAGAGGTGGTATTTGCTGGTTCTCCGAACTACTCAAAATTTCCGCTACTAGTACTCCAGAACCTGTCAGAACCTGCTGAATTTCACCAATACCTTGAAGGACTATTGCCTGGACTTTTCGGTGGGTGAATGCAATTAATTCACAAAAGGCAAATAAAGAGGGGTTTTTCAAAAAGGAGTCTTGTTTCTTGTTTCTGCTAAGGCTGGGTCAGAACACACTTTCTTCCCATATTTCTGACATGTGGACTGTTTTGCCTCTTTTCAGAAAAAAACCAAATGTTTCATCTTCCACTCTCCCAATATCTCTTGCACTGGTTGGTTGACCACACACTCAGCTGGGAAGAGAGCTAAAAGAGTCAAATTGTTCTAAACCTCAGCAGGTTGACTATTCTTCTCTATACTGATTTGTGATCAGTATTGATCATGTGTTATCAATGAGAGAAATTCAATTCTCTTGAGTATCTGGCAAGAGCTTTTCCAGCCCCTAACTCTGAGATTCTAAGCTCTGAACCCAGCACATTTTGCATTGAAAGCTTTGAACACTCCATATGAGTGAACTAGGAGAAACTTGTGCAGCAAAAGTTTTAGGGATACTGAATAACCATGAACCTAGATGGAACTAATGATATTTGTGTTTGAAGCTGCACTTGTGCTTTTTGCTCAGCTCCATTTTCTTTTCTCCAGATTTTCTAGTGAGTTGCGATGATGGTTAAATTTTTCATATGTATAACGGCAGCTGTCTAATTTTATTCTCTAGCAAGTCAGCTAGAGATCTTCAATGAGACTGAGGACTCTTAGAAGAACAATGACCATGGATGGGGCAGAGTGGACTAAAGTTTTTTTAATGTTTGTATACAAAAATGGAAGCTATAAATTTATTAAACAAAAACATGAGTTATATCAGATGAGCATATCATTAGTAATAAATATGTAATCGGTTTTACTGCATGTAAGAAAATCCTTAAACATGTTCTTAATACAAATCTTGCTTGGGAAGTCTACTTTAATAATAGATTGTATAAGCCTTTAACAATGTAATTAACCAAAATGAAGAGGAGGGTATAAATTGAAACAATAAATGTATACATATTTATATATTTAAAATGAATATACAACATATATGAACATATAAATTTTAGCCCACATTAAAGCAAATATGAAAACTTCAGTTGTGTTTTAATTATGCAAGTGCTTGAATAATTTTTGCTCTTAATTTAAATTGGAAATAACTGAAATCTATTATGATAATCTGTAACCTAATTATACAATATGTATAGTTGGGTCTACCATAGATGAGTGGCAAAAATCTAGATGGCCATGAAATGGCAATAAAGAAAACAATTTTCTATTTATTTTTACTACCATTTAGTGGTCCTCCTCCAATGAGCCAGTTTGATGCAGTAGTTAAGGAATCAAGTTAGAACCTGGAGAAATTGGACTTCTACATCCATCTTGGGCACAAAGCCAGCTGGGTGACCTTGGGCCACTCTCAGTCCAAAGAAGCAGGGAATGGCAAATCACTTTAGAAAATCTTTGCAAAGAAAACTTCAGGGACTAGTGCAAGCATTTGCCAGGAGTCTTTTTTTTTTTTTTTAAAGATGGTTATCTAGCTTTTTACAGCCCAAATATAGTAGACCAAATATAAAATGTCCTTTTCACTCAGTTGTTTGACTCAATTCCCCCCTTTTCCAGTCTTAAATAATGTCATTACTCCTGCAAACAAAACAGACTTTTTCACACAAGGCTCTTGACAGCAATCATGACTCGCAGCCAAGCAATTCCAAATTGCTCCGTTACCCCCAGGAGATACCCAATTACCTTGTTGGTGGAATTATCCCCAGTTTAAGAGCTGCTGCAGTGCAGTGGTTAAATAATATATTGTCCTTTGTGGCTACAATTAAATAGTGCACACTGAACAGTACAATATCTTTTATATTGCACGCTTTATTAAACCCTATATTATTTATTAGGGCATTATTCTTCTCAAAACAAATTATATTCCAGTTGCCCATGTATTTATATATCTTATCCTTAACATGAAAGGGAATTGAATATCTCTAAGCAAAGATTCTAATGGCTTATATATTGACATTTTATTTTCAAGGAAACAGCTGATCTGAGTCAACCTTGGGTAAAGCGATGAAATGAAGCACTAGGCAATTGCAACATTTTCCAATTTTATTAACATCAAGCTTCCTCTTCCTGATG